ATTAATAAAGACGGTGTTTAGAAATATAGAATCCGTTAGAAGGACTATACTAAGGACGAGAATACCTGGGAACTAGCGGTATATATCTTAAGTTCTATAATGGCTATATATAAGTAAAAGATATAGAATAGCGTATTATTAATATAAGTATAGTAACGTCACGGTCGTTATAAAAAGAAGAAGGATACCATAGAGAACGAAGTACTAAACTAGGAAATCTAGACGCGCACTAGGAAAACTCTATATAGCAGCCCTATAATTTAAGCGTTATACGGTTACTAGACGCGAAGAAAGCATAAATAACTATTTTAGGAACGCGACGCGATATACTATAATAGAATAATATAGAAGAGTCTAGAATAGACTAATATAGACTATTATATACGAGAAAAACATAGGACTAAGAACCTAAAAAAAGGTACCCTACCATAGAATTAAACTCTTAATATAAAATATAAAAGATTAGAGTACCCGAACTAATAACTACTAGGCTACTAGTTCGGGTACTCTAATAGAATTTATAGAGATAAACTAATTTATATACGGTGCCCATACTTAGATGACTTAAGGAAAATTAGAATATAGAAACCGATAGTTATAAGCTAAGCGAGCGTACATATAATATTATTAAGTTAAGAATTAAATTACTAGAAACTAGCTAATAGGTATCTAAACGGTCTAAAAAGGACTAAAACGGATAAATGCTAGGTAAATAGAGCCGGCGCGCACCATCTATAGTAGATCTAGAATATATAGAGCTAGGTATAGAGCTAATATATAGAGCTAGAACTATAGAGCTACTCCTCTATCTTATTATCCGTCCTAACCTCTAGTATAGTCCTCTCTAACCGCACGATATAGCGGCGGAGAACGATAACCTTAGCCTCTAGAGTAATAACCCGATCTATTAGAGCCTAGAGGGAAGAGCCTTAAGCGCCGGAGCGCAGCGACTAGGTCTAAAGTTAGCTAATATAATCTAGAATAATCTAGAAGGGAATATATACCCTCTTATAAGGCGACTTAGAGGGAGAAATAGTAGACCTCTTATAAGATCCGTTAGTAGCGTGAGACGGATAGAGGGGGATAGAGTAAATCCTCTTTACGGCCTCTATAGCTAGAATAGACTCCCTAGAATAGATAGCCTAGGCGCTAGGGATCTCGCGGCGGCTAGAAAAATCAACGGGTGTTAAAAATAATTAACGTGCTCGTAACTTATACTTTAATAACCTCTAGAAAGAGCTTATAGCGCTCCCTAAACTCCCTCTATATAGTAGATAGGCGGCTATAAGGACCCCCGAGGGTCTCGCGGACGCGAAGGTCGTTATATATATCTTATATATATATAGGAACCTAAGAATATATTAGCGCGGACTACTTTAGATTATACTAGATTAAGATAGCCTATTATACTTATCTATAGATAAGTCTTACTAGTTACGGTATAGCGGCGGTAGCGGGTAGATAGAGTAAAGATAGGGCGTATAGGCCCATCGCGGTTAGTAGAGTAGTAGCTAATACTAGAGTTAGAGCGAAAGAGATATTTAGAGCCGGCTATATAGCTCTTAATATACTTATAGTATATTAAACCGTAGTTCGCCGTTTTTCTATAGCGTAAACTATAACCACGTTTAGTATCCTCGGCGACCTAGACCTTATTATTAGTAGACTAGGGTTTAGAGTAAATATTAAGGTCCTAAAAGGACCTAGAGCGACTAAATTAGTCTATATTAGACCGGAAGGAAGAGCGGTAAGACGGCGGCGTAGGTAAGCGTAAGGGCTCGCGATTATCGTCTATAATAAGATCTTCTTTATCCTCTAGAGGAGGTAGAGTAGACGGCGTGCGCTTTAGAGTAAGAGGAGAACCTATAACCACTTTATCCATAAGTTTAGTACTAGGATTACCTAGATTAGAGCGACTAGTAGCTATATTAGTGGTAGAGGTAGTAGTAGTAGTAGCCCTAGCTACTCTCTTCTCCGACTTAGAGCGCGCCTTTATACTACCGCGATAGGTAGGCTTCTTAGCCGGCGTAGCTAGGGAGGAGGCGATGCCTTTAGAGCGAGTCTTATAAGAGGAGGAGGTAGGCTTAGAGATAGGACTAGTATTAGATATCTATATATATATATTAGCTAGAGATCTAAGGAAGGAATATTCATCTACCCTTAATAGCGATTAACGAAGCTAAATCAGTAACTATAATAACGCGAATAGGTTATATAGGACTAGTTCTAATAAGAATAGACTACTATAGACCCTTCTAAACCTAAACTAGGGAAGATAGTATATGAATTAACGACTTACCTTAAGAGTAAGATAGATATACTAGAGAATAAAATTAAAGGCGAGCGAAGCTAAATATATACTCGACTAAAGTAGCGATTACGTGTCCTAGGTAGTAGCCACGAAGTAAGGGATAAGCGCGTGTATAAACTAATAAAAGTAAACTAGAATCTCGAGTTCACCTATATTAAGGATAGTTATAACGTTATAGGAACTTAGTTATAGATATATAGGTATATAATAGATTATAGAGACTTAGAATTATATATACTTAAGTACTTTAGGGCGAAGTATAAAAAGAAGAAGGATATTATTAGGACGGGAACTATAACGGACCTATATAGACTATTCTAATCTATATAGCCACGTAGTGGCTAGAGCTAGGTTAAGTTAGCTAAGTTAAGCGAGGTTACTATATAAGTAGACTATATAAACCGATTCCTACTTGTTAGGAATCAACCTTATATAAGAGTAAGATTACTCTATAAATACATTCCTATGTCTCTCTATAAACTGTTAGACTACTATCCTACGTCTTTACTCTTTATAGCTAGCTACACTAGGCCTAGTATAAACTATATATATATAATTAATATTCGTAATACCGCCTCTAGTACTAGACACGCTAACTTACCGTAATAATATTACTACTATATTATCTATTATATATATAAAGTATATATAACGTGGTAAGCTAAACGGAATCATATAAAATTTAATAATAGTTAACTAGACTAAGAGTTAAACCCGTGACCCTATAGTAGCTTTAAGATTATATAAGAAGGCGGGCTCTATATACTAACTAACTATACTAAAAGAACTAAATCTTAAAGCTACTACTTTAAGGGTAGAGTATACTACTTATATATAACTACTATATACATGTATAATTAACTAGTAGGCACGTGCCTAATAAGTTAATATAAATACCTTTCTAATAAGATTAGAAGAAATTATTAATTAAGAATACTAGCTTATATATATATAACTAATTAGGTTACTTAATTATCTTATTACTAGTACACGTCTAGATCTTACCTTTATAGTTAGAATATATACTACTTTTAATATAAATCTATTAGAGTAATATACTTAAATAGCCTTTAGTATATTATAATATATTAAGTATACTATTAACTAATATCTTATACTAAAGAAGTCTAAAGATATAATAGAAATTAATATATTCTCGGATACTTCTTAGGGTTTAGATTCTAATACTACTAAGTCTACCTCCGTATATATAAGAAGATAGACTCTATATACTAACTAACTATACTAAAAGAACCGAATCTTAAAGCTACTACTTTAAGGGTAGAGTATACTACTATTAGGCACGTAAGGAGCACGTGGCCTACTAGTTGATTCTACATGTATATAGTAGTCGTATATAAGTAGTATACTCTACCCTTAAAGTAGTAGCTTTAAGATTCGGTCCTTTTAGTATAGTTAGTTAGTATATAGAGCCCGCCTCCTTATATAATCTTAAAGCTACTATAGGGTTACGGGTTTAACTCTCGGTCTAGTTAACTATTATTAAATTTTATACGATTCTATTTAGCTTACTATATTATATATACTTTATATATATAATAGATAATATAGTAGTAACGTTACTATAGTAAGTTAGCGTATCTAGTACTAGAGGCGGTATTACGAATATCGATTATATATATATAGTTTATACTAGGCCTAGTATGGCTAGCGCGTATACTAGGCCCGTTACGGCTAGTTTAGTTTATCTTTTATAAGGTAGCATGCCCATAACGCGTAAGGACACGCGCCTTTAAGAAGGGAGATAATATTAGGTACATAAGGAGCACGTGGCCTACTAGTTGATTCTATATATATATAGTAGTTATATATAAGTAGTATGCTCTACCCTTGAAGTAGTAGCTTTAAGATTCGGTCCTTTTAGTATAGTTAGTTAGTGCGTGGAGCCTACCTCCTTACAACTACTTATATATAACTACTATATACATGTGTAATTACTTGGTAGGCCACGTGTCTAATAGTATATATCCTTTAATTAAATAGAAGCTTAGTAGCCTAGAATAGTAAGAGATAATCATATATTACTAAGTCGATATATAAAGTAGAGTATATAGCCTACTTAAAGGCTATAAGTTACTTATAGTAGGCTCTACTAGATATAAAAGAGATCTTTATAAATTATAATATTCTAGTTCTCTATCTTCTTATAGATAATTAAGCTATAATAGCTCTTATCTAAAACTAGTAAATTATAGTATAGTCTAAATATATTATAATATACTATTATATAGTTTAAGAATTATTTACTAATAGAGTTATATCTATATAGTATATTATAAGTTATAATAATATTACTAATATAGGAATAAAAGAACTACCCTTACTACTACTAAATTAAATAAAGACGATAATTAGTTTATAGTAGAGTTATCTTACTTACAGCCGTTTCTCTCTTAGTTATTTCTCTTATATCTCTCTTTCCTTTATTCTTTTAGTACTATCTCTTACTATTACTTACTTTAAGCTTTCCTTTATTCTAATATTACTAAGTATATATATATATACTTAGTATAGGGGAGTGTTATTAGAAGGTACTTTAAGTAAGAGATACTACTTCCTAAACGGGACTAGTGTCTAAACGGTTAAATAGCTTCGACTCTGTCTCCTAGAACTTAGTTCTCTACACATAATTATAGAATACATTCAATGACCTCAATCACGTCTACTTTCTACTTATAATAGTGATGTTATAGCCAAATGGAGCTCAAGTATGCAAGCTTTTGGACTCGTCTGCTACTACTACCAACCCTAGAGGGCGTAGATGGTGGAATCACACTGTCTCTCTCACGACTTCCCGCTCCCAACAGATTACTCAGCTATCGCGGAAACGCTGAGTTTGCTTTCTCGTCACGTCGTAGCTGAGCAAGACGACGAGTCTCGCATTAAGCGACGTAGGTGGCCATGTTTAGCCTAGCAACTCTGATTACTCCCTCATAGCTTTCTCCAGTTCCTTCATACGCACTTGTTCACATGTCAATTCCAAATCCAATCTCCATGTCGCCCAAGACTCAACCTCCTTATTGTAATTTCTGCTGGCCGATGATCACGGTACATGGTTACTACCGACTCTGCACCACCATTCCAAGTTACCTTCCTTTCAACCAGTGTCTTGCTCAGTCCCGCTCCGTACCGGCTCAGAATCGCCGTAAAGACTCTCTCTCGCCCTATACTGAGCCCCTTACCCCAAAATGAAGGACACCGTCTGTCAGGGTCATCCTCCCATTTATGGGCGCATCGTACGGGCTTATCGAAAGCTTTGAAGAAGTCTTCGGGCTTGGAGAGATGGTTCATGTGTTTGAAATGGCAAAGCCAATCGAGGATGTACTTTATGACTGTGGAGGGCGGGGCATTGGTAATTATGTCGGTGTGATTATCAAGGACGGTGGGGTGAATAGTATCGGTGGACTTGGCTATCGTGAATGGGACGCCAGGTTTGATTGAGTATTGTTCCCAGTCGGGGTCGTCGAGAGGTAGAGGCATGTTGGGCTTTGTGGTGAAGTTCAGTTTCTTGTGATCGATTGGGAATGAGTCTTGGTGATGAGGTTGAGATACATCAGTGGCGGGAGGACTGAGGAACCTATATGCGGACAGTCTGTGCGGTGAGGGATTGTTCTTCCATTCAGAGAATGGTGTAGCATACATTGTGAAGATGATGTTCGATCACTCGCTTGGGAGGTAACATGTGAGCAAAGTCCCACGGACCAGGTTGAACTAGTTTCTAATATTGTTGAACAGTGGCTAACAGTGTGGTGAAAGTGTTTCTAGTGAATACATATTGGCAGGAGCTACCTCCGCGTTCACTTGACCGTCTCACCAAGAAATTATGTCCTTTCTCATAGTTTGGATTTAGTAAGTGGCGTGCTTCGATCACCTGGGATTGCTCCTTGCATGACGGTTGCGATACCTGTACGATTTGCCTACAGCGAAGACGTGAAGATCTCCTGCGTATACCACCCCATTTAGTAGCGAGATGGCGATGAGCAGGATGCACGATGAACTAGAGGGGGTCTCTAGAATTCTTCTGTAGCACCTCTTCTTAGGACTTCGAGACTTCGAGACCATCAAGGATGATCTCTAGAATCCCTTTCCTAGACGGACACTCGCTCCCCCTCCATACCACAGTGTGCCGCGGCGGAAATCAAGACCTTGCGTCTGTCCGACGATCCATTCTCCGCCCTCTTTGATACGACCATCTGAAGTCGGCCAGTATTCTCTCTGTAGCCAATCATTGATCTCGTCAAACTTTTGGACGAGCTTCTTCATCTTCTCAGCATCGGGTGTGCCTTCAGCCGTGCTGAAAGCATCCTTATCGATGAAGCGACCAACAGTCAGGTGACTTGATGGTACAGTATATCGCGAATCTACATCCACAAGCTTCTTCGAGAGATTATACACGTCGCGGCGCAGATGATGGTAAGTGTACTTGTCATCTGATGCCGTCCGGCCATCTGAAAGATTTTCACCGGCGGCTGGAATAAAACTGAGGGCAAATGCTGAGGCATCAAAGCTCATGAGGGGTTTTATCAGGCGTGCACGATGATCGAAAGTGTAGTCTGTTAGCTCTGTGACTCCAGGTAGAATGCCATCCACGAGTTGGGCGACATCTGCTTCTGTGCGGGAGTGAGTAATCTCCAAAGTCGTCATGTGCAGACAAGTTTGGGGCATAAACCATAACTCTACTCTATCTTAGTACACGGTCAGGGCCACTGTAGTATGCTCACTTGGAAAGTCTGCAGCAATCATGTCTTGAATCTGCTTGATAAGATTCTTGACATGCTGGGTTGGCCTGGCCCAAAAGACAAGGCAATACCGCGGGTCTTTGTATGATGAATCATTGACTAGGTTGTATAGAACTGGATCAACGCTGACACCTGCAAAATCGTTGCTCAGTAACTTCGCTCGTTGCTGCTGGTTTCGACCCGTCCGATGGTTGCTGTACCGTTCTTGTATGAGCGCCTACGATGAAACTGAGTTTCAGTCAAGATTCCACAGTGGTCGAAGGCCCCTTACAGCATCGTTGTTGGAGCCGTGTATCAGTACATCATACGGGTTGTCGAATTTTTGAGTGGACGAAGATGTGCCACTAAGGTCCTGGAATTGGTCGGCTTGCCATGACAAAGGAGCGTCCACCCGCTTAGCCATACTGAGTGATCGTATCGAGCAACTCGATTGCTATAGTCGGTACTATGGGTAAGACGCTTCTTAGATTGAAGCCAGCAAAGTTCTCAACATACACCGCATACGGCCTAGTCAGGGCGATGCGTGGTGTTTCGATGAATCTGGTTAGCCTTGGTCTGCAATACCCCTCGGCCCAAAAGTGACTAGCTCCCGGTGTCAGTCCTTCCAGACGTCATGTCAACAATGCACCTTCGCCATAGTATATTCAATTGCTTCACCCTTCTTGGTCCATCAGCCTATCTGAAATGCCTTTCCTTCTGGTGAACTCCACACGAGTCCACTACTCCGATACAGCATTGAGCGAATCCACTCGCGAGACACTTGTTCTGCTTCATGGCCTCGGCTCTTCTCAGAACTATTACCATGCTATCATACCAGAGCTCGCGAAGAATGGATATCGATGCATCGCCCCAGACCACACCGGGGCCGGTCGTAGTTCATACACACAGGTCGAACAGAGTAGAGACAGTCTTTCAGCAAACGTTGTCGGGCTCATGGACGCACTCAAAATTGAGAGAGCTGTTGTTGTCGGGCATAGCATGAGCGGGTATGTTCTATTCACACGGAATAGTTCTCATATGCTTAATCTTCTCTCCAGATTCATCGCCGCTCACCTCGCCGCTTCTCATCCTACACGCTTCTCCTCAGCCGTCCTCATCGGCAGTGTCTATCCTAGTCCAGATCTCGCCCCAATCTTTGAGAAGCGCATCGCGACCGTGCAAGATTCTGGTATAGAAGCCATGGCCAACACTGTCCCTGAAGCAGCAACGCATCCCTCCACACATCCTCTCGTACGAGCGTTCATCCGCGAACTTATTCTCGGCAACACGGCAGAAGGTTACATCTCGAATTGTAGGGTCATTGCAAGCGCTCAGCCGCCACGATTCGGCGACATTAAACAGCCGGTGTTGATCATCGCTGGTGACTCAGATTACGCAGCGCCAAAAGCCATGAGTGAACGAATACATAAAGAGCTAGGAACTCCAGAAGGAAAGAAGAGGCTGGAAGTGTACGAGCAGTGCGGGCACTGGATCGTCGTTGAGAAGCCTGATAAAGTGGCCAACGACATAATAAAGTTTTTATCGGATATACAGTAGGGACTACAGCTCCTGATGGTGAGTGATTAGTCATGCTAAGGATACTGCAGGGATGCGGGGCCGCTTAGCCGGAGCAATTTATGATCGTTGTGCAGATCAATGTATAACGCAAGAGGACTATACTATTCATATACCAGTCCGGATGATTGATACATATAAGAGGACAAATGTATGTCTTATGAATGATAATTCTAGCAGCAATGCTACATGTGTCACCAGACGTTTAAGCTTCAGGCGATTGAGAGAGTATTGTAGCCAATAATTCTCCTAGAAGTCGGAAGGATTTTACTGTCTCCACAAACTCACTCCTCCCTGTCTTCTCTCGAATCCTCAAAGCTCCGTCTCGTCACTCGGAATGGTTCCGGGCTCTTTGGTATCTTTTCTAATTCGCTGCACTCCTCCTCCGTACTATTATACCTACTGTACAGCCTCCAGAAGACCATCCCCGCTACAAAACAGGCAACACTCAACCCCGCATACATCCATACCAGTTTCGGATCTACACTCAGTGGACTGATCGCCGCCGCCAATGCCGCCCCAAATGCATTTGTCAGCAGGAACAGACTCATGACGAACGATTTGAGACTAGTAGGCGCTTTGGTGAATGCATATTCAAGCCCTGTGACAGCAGCGAAGATCTCGGACAGCGCGATAAAAAAGTACGCAGGGGTCTGCGCCGCAACGTGGATCTTATTTGGCGCGTACGAGCCGTCCACATTGAGGCCCGCAGTGCACACGAGGGGCGTGTCATAGCATGGTGCACGGCTGTATATCATATGCTGCACGACGGCGGCATACGCCATTGCGGCACTTCCGAGAAGAAAGCCGAAGAAGATGCGTGTCATGGGCTTGAATTGGATACCAAGCCTGCGCAGTGCCGGGTATACGACGCGGTCGAGGATAGGAATAAAGATGATGATGGTGATTGGGTCGATGTTCTGCATGACATCATTGGGGATGCCGTGTAGCTCCATTTGACCGGCTTGCGACACGAAGTTGTTGCTCATTTGGATACAGACAACCCAGTAGAACGGGTAGAAGAGAAATACCTTGCACCCAGCGATCGCAATTTTGAGCTCCGAGATGAATTGTTCGTCCCAGTTTACGGAACGCCCGGGAAGTGTCGAGGGACGCGCAGCGTCGATATCACCGTGATTGCGTAGGGCGATGAGGAGGGCGTGGAAACAGTCGATGATAATGGAGCCGCGTGGAGGGCGTACGACGTAGTGTTTCTTGCCGGAGATGAGGACGAAAAAGCCGAGAACGAAGAGTTTCAGGGGGACGAGGTATGCACTCCAAAAACCGACGTGTTTTTCTAGGTTGGTTGTGATGATGGGCGAAAGCGAGCCGAGGTTGATGCACAGGTAGAATATCATATATATCCTCTGGATGGTGATGGCCGGATCTACGATCACACGTTCGCCGGACTTGAGCACGCGGATGGTAGCGCGAGTGTTTGTATATTGCTCGGCAATGAGTGGGGACACATTAGCTTTGATGCCGCCTGTACCCAGGCCGATGACAGCCATCGCTGCGATGAGACCACCAAGAGCGGCTCCACGCTCGATGACGAAGGGAAGAGATGTGACGAAGAGAATTATCAGGCCGGCGATGTAAATGACGGAAAAGTAAACGATAGTGAGGTACTTGCCGAGATACTGGTCTGCAACAACAGCACCAATGATAGGAGTGATATAGCACCAGAACTGGTTCTGTTAGATGCAAGAGATGTTGATAGAATTGCACTACGTACCTGAAAGAAGTTAGTCAGACCTGTTGCACCGGCTTGATTCAACCCGATTGCGCCAGGGAGACCGTTGGGGTCGTGGTATTTGTTTGCAATGTAGTTTTGGAATGGGCCAGAAAGGCCATAGAAGGCTGACCGTTCACATAGCTCAACGATAGCAACCATGAAGGCGCTGTGCGGCAGTTTGTCTGGCACTTTACGAAGTGTATGTTTTTCATCTTCTGTCGGTTCGTCGACTGTGGAGTTATCGGGCAATGACGGCTTGCTGTCGAAGGATCCCTCTGCTATAGAATCACCATACACAGCTCGGTTATACTCTCGTCGCGATATAGTTCTGGTGCCATGCGATCTGTTCCCAGTAAGTGCCTTTCTATATCAGTGTGATACAGCAATATATATATTTGTGACATGTGACCGAACCCCGCTGCCTAAGCTTTTTGACAACAAAGACAATGATGAAACACAGATACGTACTCAGCCGCTGGTTGCCCATGATTCGCCATGTCATACAATTCAACATCATCTCGGTCGCTCTGGTCTAACTCGATATATACGCCTCTTTGGTTCTCCGTCCGGACAAATGCTTCATGCAGATTATCAGGCTGGCCGATAAGCTTCTTCCAGGCTTGCCATGTGGAACGCAACAGTTTCAGCCCTCCAGAAGTGACCATTGCGAGTATATGAGATAGCAGGGCTCCAGGGAACAGTGGGCGAGATGATACAACGTGAGCCACTAGAGTGACATCGCGTACAAGGGATTTGCTGATGTAGGGTGATCAATTAAACATCCTGACGGGGTTGTTTCTTTCTATGGTTGTGCCGCTGTTGATCTCCTGCTTTATTGCAGGACGGCTAACTGCTGTGTGCAGAATACAATATGTGGTGGATTTATAGAAGCAACGGATGCAAAGTTGACGTGTTCGGTGATGGGTTGTCGTAGCGCGTCGGTTTCTTCCTTGTGTCGTGTAGGTGTTTTAGGAGAATGTGCGTAATTCTAAGTCTATATGGCGTAGCTACGGTCACAGGTCACCCGCTTTTTTTTTAGTGCGACGCAGCTGCATCTGGTTAGCATCTGCCGAATACCCCTTGTATGGATGGGGATGGATACAAAGCTGAAAAGGACATAGCTGTTGAGCGAGACTCCGAGCGTCACGATCAGTCCACCTACTATTGTAATTGTAACACGAGGACAGTGCATACTGAAAAATGAAAATTGGACCCCGACATCGACATCAACATCGACATGAACATCAACACCAACAGCGCGAATGACAAAAGAAGAAACACGCTCACATGCAAGCTTGCCATATCTTCCGGAAGAGCTTGTTCGGTTTTGCCCTCGTCCAGTCAGCACTTAACCACTTTGAGTTGCCAGTCTCCCATTGGTTCTTCTTGCTAAGACAGCCAGGCCCGGAGATAGGCAAGCTAACGGACTTTGATATGAGAACCGCAACATCTTAACACAGATGGGTTGTGATTATATCGACAGCATCGCACCAATATGGAATGGATCTATATCAATAGCAGTAATGGCGAGGTTGATGCCAAAGCCAGATCTACTATACGTCGGCGTGCAGCAAAGGGGCACAATATCGGTCGAAAGGTCAACCGGCCATCCTATCTCAGGAGCCTACAACACCAGCCTAGATCAAAGCTCCTTCCTATCGTCAGTTCTGGCTCTTGTTCTCCTGTACAGAGTGCACAGCACAATATGGATGCCGATGGAGAGTCCCAAAGCACGCCCACACAGGTCGAACGCATCATCGGCGACAGCCTCTCCATATTGAATCTTCCTATCAAGATAGCCCCTGGAGATAGAGCACTCACGTATGAAGGTCCGGTAGACATCCATTAAGACACATAATCACATTCTACTAACTTCATCTTAGCCCTAGCTTTCATGAAAGTGCCGAAACTCCAGCCTGCCTTGTCCCATGCTCTTTCTGTCAACGACGCAAATTACTCTACAGACTTTCTCCGACTGATGCTTATGGATCAAGCATGTATGTTATACCGCTATGGATCACTGCCAAGACACCGACTGATACAATATACGTAACTCAAGGCTACCATTGCATCATAGCGATCTTCGTTGAATCCAGGTCACTGACTCGTACTCTTAACGGTATTCACCATATTACGCAGTCACTCCACCTGATCAACGAGCGCATTTCTCGTAGTACGGGTGTCACCAATACTACCATCGCTGCAACTCTAGGATTGTCAACATATGACGCTGTGCAAGGACGCTATGATCATGGCGCCGTACACGTTCAGGGCGTTTTGCGAATGATAGAGATCCGCGGTGGTGTCTTCCGAGTTGGCTCTGAAGATCCCCAATTGATGTTGAAGATACTTAGGTTTTTACTTCAGGGCTACCTAAGTGTAATAAGACTAATAGAGTCGCAGGTCTAGCTTAGCCTATGCTTTACGGTCTGCTTCTATCCCGAGCATAGATATTGATTGGCTAGAGATTCAAGAAAACACGAATGGACTGAATCTTCAACATACCGAGGCATACTCCGAACTACTGCCCGCTAACGTGGGTGGAACACTGAGGGTCCTGGATCCTGAACTCCTCTATCTTTGGGAACGAATGTACATCCTGTCGGGTCTCGTCAACAAAGCCAGTTCTGGCAATCACACAAAGCTTTCATCGGCACAATTCATGACAAGCCACGTCTGGCTTGGTCATCGGCTATTGCAGTATGCACCACTAATACCTTCCGGATACAAGCCCGCCTCTCAGAGCCTAGTACATCTGGGTTCTGTAATGATCATTAGCGCCCTGTTGAACGGATTTGGCCGTGAGGTGCATAATACACATCTATCACAGCTTGTTCGAGACATTTGTGTGGAAAGTCTAGAAGTCAGTGTACCCAAGGAGCTCACCTTATGGGTTCTGTTCATGAGCAAGATCACTGGCTTGCAAGATGCTGTCGATGATGCGTTGCTGCTCCCGAGAGCTTCAAGCTTGATTCATGAGTTAGAGATAAGCACCTGGGATGATACGAGAACGATTCTAAGCCAATTTCCTTGGATCCAACACTTCTATGAAATGCAAGCTTGCTCTTGGTTTAGAAGAATCAATATGTATGAAATGGTTCGATGAATTCGGACCTCTCCGAAGGGACATGGGAAACTACTCTAGCCCAAAGCACGCATACATCAATACCTTAAGGCCTTCGCCACACAGCCTGGAACAATCTTCTCAAGCTCCTTGGCCACACTATCCCAGCATTGCTTACTTGCAGTGTCGTCTATCCACTCTGGCACCAATTCACTGCGGATTGCCGATTAGTAGTATGTCCTTTTTTTTATCTCAGGGAGTCGACTTACTCTGCTAGGCCGCAGTCATTCATATAGACACCATGACTATCCTCACCAGCCACTGCCCCTGCGAGAAGCGTCCGACTACCACATTCTGCAGAACGACCACACTTCTCCCACAACTGCCTTATACCCTCCTTCAACTCAGGGCTCCCATTCCGACACAGGCTTGTTACGCAAAGGCCCGGATTAATCAAATTGATGACCACTTTTCCTCGTGCGACAGGAAGCAGTCGCGCGATCTCGCGCACTGAGAGGATCTCAAGGAGCTTTGACATGGGGTACCTGGCTAATAATCAGCACAAACTCGATAGCTCAACGTGTAATTGACCTCACATTGCCATCCCCTCGTCTTTACTATTCTCCCCAATCGCATCCCCTCTGACCCTCTCCCACGCCTCTCGGATATCGAAAGCCGTTCCACTCGTGACAATGCTAACCCGCGGCACATATCCATACTTCACTGCATCGGACCTCAATTTGGGAAGCAGTAACACCGCCAGTAACATTGTACTCAGCACGTTCACGGTCAGAGTGGTCGGATATCCCTCCGCGCGTGTGCCTTCAATCGCCACAGCCGCGTTTTCAATCACAGCGTCAATCTGTCCAAGCTCTTCGATTACCCGTGCAGCAAACTCACGCACCGAGGCGAAGCTGGATAAATCGAGATGCCAGACCTCTGCAACTCCACTGGTCGAAGTACTAGCTTCAATGTCCGCGAGCGCAGAGGCACCGGCGGTAGGACTACGCACGGCCATGATTACTTTAGATGCTCCAGCCGCAACGAGATGGCGTGTTGTTTCAAGACCAAGGCCGACATTGGCGCCAGTGACGATATACGTGCGGTCTTTGCAGGTCGTTTCGTTGACATTGAGAGGGAGGTTGCGTGGCTGGGCAAGGGCGTGTGCTCTCGAGGATGACATCTTTAGAGTCTGGAAAGGTTTGATATTGAATATTTCGGGGTTTTTGATATTTATAAGAAGCTGTGAGTGATACCATGAATAGCGGATTTTGTAGATAGCTTATATAGATGTGGCATAATGGAAAGAGCTCACATAACATAAGCTATATAGGAGTGTTAAATCCGGCAAATCTCCTATCTCCATGTATATTACCTCGCACACTCCATCAGGATAAAGCTGTGGGATGAATGGGCCAATAGCAGACAATTGCCTGCAATAGGCATGGTCTGCCTGGTCGAGGGCCAGTAAGAGACTAGCAACTCGAATAGTGAAAGTATGCTATGTATATGAGATCTGAATGACAGAAGTACTGCTTACTTGCTTGGATGGTAGTGTCTCTTAACTTTCATGGTTCTTGCTAGATATTTCGCCGGATGCTGCGAGAGAACGAAGACACAACTTCTCCTTAGAAGGATTTTCATGAGTGACCAACACGTCATTAGTCAAACAACATACTTAGGTATTGTGTAGGGACATTGTATTTTGGAGACAAGCTGTCATGATCGTTGTAGCTTGAGATGTCCTGTATCTGCTCTACTTTCACGTCGCAGCCAGACAACCATGTGCTTGTCACAAAATGCTCGTATTCATTCACAGTTCGTCCCACCCATACAAACACCGAGCACACAGACAGCGAGAGATTCATGCCATATTACAGCATCGGCTATATAACAACTCATCTTTTAGAAATTGTAATTGAGTATGTGGCAGAGTGTCCGAATCATGAGTTACCACCCCAATCAGAAATTATTAGCCCAGGGAGACAGAACTTCATGGATTCAATTATCTGAGCATGTCTTTTATTTCTCTGTTAACAGAATTGGATGATTTACTTTTTATTGCTTCTTTGCTGCTGTTGGTAGTACCCCTATGTTTCTGATCATTATATAAATTCAATATCTGCATGTACTGGTCCCGAGACGCGCAGAGCTCAGTCTTTGTTCATTTCACACTAAATACAGTAGATGATGGGTGTTTCATCAACAATGTTGATCCATGCGTTTTGCTTTACTCCGACCTAGGCGCGTCCTTCTCCTCAGGCGAGCCTCGACTATACACGCACCGCTCGAACGGACACAGCTCTACGTAGGTGTGATATATCTGGGGATGTACTGCGATTCTTTCCTTTTCTATTCTCGACAGCGTTGATGCTGAAGTCGACCGAACAGCTCAACATCCCAACTTATGGCCTTTTCGAAACACTACTAACGAAGGAATAGGACATGTGCAGGACAAAGTAGAATCAGACAACGAAGAGGAGGTTCGCATTTAAATACTGACTATTGGCAGTGCTGTAGCCCTTATCCCGTTTTATCACGCCCAACGTGTCCTCACGTCAAATATTCGTTCGACCCGTCTTATTTCGAGTGCGGATAACAAATCACGACAGTCAAATCCACCGGTTACCTCCCTTTCTTCCGCGAACATACCAGCGAGGACCATAGAGCGAGCTTAGGATCCGGAAAAATATGCGGAATATCATATCCATACCACCCATACCTTTGAAAGATGGAAGAGAGGGTCAAGACTATGTGTATTTGACATATAGAGAGCTATTCAGCATCAAAGAGCTACTTAACCAGACATAGACACATAGTAGCGAAGACACACTCATAACTATGCCCTGTAGGCATAATGAGATATCTATCAAACGGAAAGAGGGAAAACTTGCATGCGAAAAAGAAGATTATCTCGGACTCGAGTGTAGAAAGAAACGATGCGGAAGAGTGTTGCACCAGACACGATTTCTCGGTCTACAACAACTCTAGATAGCCTCTGGTGCATCTTATAGTGTCTAATTTTCATAGAAGAGTAAGAGTAAGGTAGGTTGAGCTTGGTACATGCATCGCTTTCGGTTGAATAAGTTATGTAAACAATGCATGAGATATCTATCAGTAACCTGCCTTGTTCTTGGAAGTAGATATACTACCTGGTATGTATCATACGATTGAAGCGTTCAATGACTTCATCAGAATTCGTGATAAATGATGCCAATGTAGGCCTATTCCCATCACGTCTCCAAAGCAGTACTATGCTGTCTTCCCCACCTCTACCAGGAAACCACAGCAACGAGATGTGACAGGTATTTGCTTCATATTTGCTCTTCTGCGGAGATCGCGAGCACTCTAGGGAACATCGCGAGCTCTTGAAGCCTTGGCTGGTGTATATGAACAAGGTATGCTGAAATCTGTACTGAAGCAGTTAAGAATATCTAAAACACTTTCAAACTAGACTCGATGTTCCTATATACAAAACTCCAGGACCAGGACCTCCTTGCAACTTTTGCCCATGGTTTCACTGGTGCGCCAGTTTGCCTCCATTTGTAGTCACTCGAAATTTAGTAGCGGCAGTGAATATTTAACACTGTACATACCCGACCGGTACTTATAATGATAACACGCTAATTCATGTTAACTTTTCTAGTCTACAAAGGCATAAAAAGCCATACTTACTTCCATTATACCATCTGATATCCCTGTTCTGTCTACGATACGTTTTGATTGTTCTCCGACTTCGAGTCGCAGCTACCATGAGAAGAAATCGTCAGTCGACGACGGCAGAACGCTTTCCAGGTGGCTTGGAGATCCTAATAGTGATAATCCGTTCTTTGAGCGGCAGAAATTACATCATGAGAACACGCCATCGACACTTATCTCCCCGGAAATGTACTGAGGGGTACCTAACGGAAGATGAATTGTTGAGTATTGCGCCGTTATAAAACAATCCCCTGAGCACATAATAATTCACAGCGCAGGATATAAATCAAAAGAGGGCTAAAGAATTAATGACAGCCTGTTATGTAGTCTATCCTATGTTACATTAGCACAGTGATGTATACTCGGCTGATCTGTTGTGATAGACGATTATCAGTACCCTTTGTTTCGAGCGGAATAACAGGTCCACAGGTAACTTCAAGTATATGTCTGTCCCACTGTATATCGTAATTTAGTAGTTGAGATGGGTCTTACAGTTTTACAGGGCAGATAGATGTCCACCTGAGTCTACGATGGCACTGTTTATGATAACTCCATTGTCTGAGGCATTAGACTACCAGAGAAGAAAGTGCACATCGTCCAAGGGAGCTCAATTAAAGAGACGGAGACGGCCCATGATACGAATGGCAAACTCATATTCCTTTCTATGTGAGTATATGAGCCTATATCGTTGTTGTACAAGTGATATTATCTCCTGTGAAGAGAGTGATGATCTCAGAGTAGGACCGAATGATTGAGTAGATTACCTTATCACAATCAATGGCAGAGAAAAATATGCTTCTCATAACGTATCTAATCTTAGACGTCAAGTCATTTGTACTATCCCTACATGTGACCACCTCCGAGCATCACCCGACCAACGTGGCTCCTGCATCCCGATTATATTTACAGCCCTACTCATGATGCGGCACGTACCCGATTAGAGTGAACAGACACGTTCCGATCTCACTAGAACTTGAAGAGTGGAGGCTTGCTTATATCGGAGAAGTGCGCATGGATGGCCATTGTGTGAACGACTATTTCCTCCAGTTGTTCTCTGTAAAGCTACATGGAACGCAGCGATTGACGCATGCACGAACAACTAATTGTGTTCTGTCGTACGTTTCAAGTGATCTGCAATCTTACTGAACAATAACCGCTGTTCACCTTGCCCCAGCCTCCTTGGTAATTAGACGACGCAATTTCTTTCTAGGCGATAGCTTCGATCACATCTTGCATCTTTGGATTTTCCTTGATTCGTACTACATCGCTTACTCTCACAATTTTTTACTTTACTTCATTCGCATTGCGTCTTCTATTCTCGCACCATATCATGAAGCTCCGCAGCCAAGAAAGCGTGCCGATTGCCCGGTCACCGAACCACAAAGTGTCACAAAAGATGACAAGATCTGCAAGCGAAACAAAACATGCACGCTTAGCAAAAGCAAGCACCACACCTAGCCCTGAAAGTTCCAAAGAAATAGTCAAGTGCACCATCAACACAGAGGCACACATCAGCAACACGCCGAAGCCGACTACCCCAAGTCAAGCAAGTGCAGCAACGAAAATAACTTCCACCAAGGCTCCCGCTCAGCGCAGATCAAGCAGTCCAAAGTTTGCCGTCGAAGCAAAGGCTAGCATCAGAAATGACACAGAGCCAACCGACAAAACCGTAGCAAAGTCTACGGCCGAAGCAGATGGTCGCTCTGTAACAGCAAGAGAACCCCTTTCCCGCTCAAGCTCGCTCAAGCCAACACCTAAGAACTCAACATCCACAGTCGAACCCACGCGCTCCATCAAAAACACAGCACAGCTCCCGGGTGCGCCAGCCGGCCGGCTCATAGAGTACTCCCTCTGGTGGAGATGCCCACGCGGTCACGCCAACAAGACCACGGCCCTCTCAGACTTCGACCTCTTCGACCAAGACGACTACTTCACATGTAGCCGCCGCATCGGCAACAGAGGCCGGTGCGAAAGAGGATTCATGCACCGTCCGCACGTGCTAGGCTTCTCGCCCTCAAGCGAGAGAGCCGTGACAGAGGAGCTCGCCGGCGACGATGATGAGACGGTGCTCAGCACCAGCACGCTCGTCCGAGAGACGACCGCGACGGAGGGTCGAGAGACCGTGACGACTGTGCGCGCTGCCGCAGGGCAGCCTGTCGTCGTTGAGCGGCGAACCTTGCATCTGGACGGAGACGGTTTTTTGGAGTGGCGTGTGGACGGAGAGGGCTCCGCGGGTGTTGCGGTGCCGCACCAGCCGGCATGTGCTCTGACACACTCACAGCAGCCAGATACCAGGCTGACTGCCCCTGTCGGGCCAGACAGTGAGCTAGCAGGTGAGCATCTGTCGGTCGAGACCCGCGAGGAGATCAGGAAATGTGGCAGCCAGGAGGCGGTATCGATGTCGGCGGCACCAGCTGCCTTTGTGCTGGGCAAGAGGGGGAGGGATGCTGCGGGTCCGACCCAGTATAGCCTTCGCAAAAGGCGGCGGGTGGTGGGAGACAAAGAGGATTCTGGGGAGGAGGTAGTCCTTGGCCTAGATAGCCAGGGGCTTGATGGCGCGTATTGGAAGAGCTGATGAGGGTTGATTTGTATAGATAGCGAGGGGATACCAGGTTGATATGGCTGGTAATAGGTCAAATTAGATGTATTAGTATAAATATATGATGATAACCAACGAGACTATAAGATTTTTTAAGTCATGACGTGTAAAAAGGTTTGATATATTCTTAGGAGGTAAAAGTGGTAGAATGGTTCAAACATTCATTTGCTATGGATTTCAGAAAATCAGAGCACGGGATTATTAGTATGTAGGAGAGGATATTAAAGTTTCTCGGAAGGTACAGGGTCTATATTGTATACCCAGTTGGGCTTTTTCAAGAATCAATCAATAAGAAGCCACGATATATAGCCTACTAGATTGACATGTAGTAAATTCTACCATAATAGCATATTTAGTATCATATATCTAAAAGCGGTCTTCTACACTAGTACTACTTATAAGATATTAAATAAATGTATATAGACGCGTATTAAGCAGATCCTAGGGCATCATATTACTTTGAATTTTGTACCTAGGAGAGTTTATTCAAGTTTGTATTGATTTGAAGACATTATATCCTGATTCCTATTACAAGGTTCTATCAGATGGTTGTCATTTGAAGGAATGGGCAAATGATGTTCACTTTACATGAGTATTTCACGATCAAAGCTCACCATGCACCGTTCTTGATCACCTCCACACAATCATCTATGCATTCCATACCCCTATCCAACACCCCTTCCAGCGCAAACAAACTGTGCGTGCTTCCAGTATACACCTTCATCCCGACCCCTACCCCTACACCCCTGAATCTCTCTGCAAACAACCTCGCCTCAGGGGCAAGCAAATCGTATTCCGCAATACCCAGCCACGTTTTCGGCAACGTCCTCAAAGCATCATCCCCTAATAGCCCTGGACTGGCATCCCCACTGCCCCAATCACATTCATCCGGCATCCACATGCGCCGATACCACAGCATACGCTCTGGAGTCAGCCATGGCGCGTGCTGGTTCTCGCGCCATATGCCCGCAACAGAAGCGGTGTTATCCAGGACGGGCACGACGAGAACCTGGAGGCGGATTGCAGGACAGGATGGGAGCGTAAGGGCGTGCGTACACAGTGCGAGGGAGAGCACGGCTCCGGCAGATGTGCCGCCTACCGAGATCAGGGCTGGGTTCAGGGGCAGGAAGGTGGGTGCAGAAGAGAGGATTCAGTCCAGGGTTGTATGAGCGTCATGGATGGCTGCTGGGTAAGGATGTTCGGGGGCAAGGCGGTATGCGACGTTGACTACGATATGACTTGCTTCTGTGTATCACTTTTATTTCATGTTGGATGGTGAACATCTGATGGGCTGTACCCACCCTTGCAGGCCCTCGAACAGAAATAGGCACCACTGTCGATGCCGCCAACTGTCCAACCTCCTCCGTGGAACCATATGAATACGGGCCATCCACCAGGCGGCGCCTCTTCATTTGGGACAAAAGTGCGGACTGAAAAGCTACCTAGACTGAAGTCTTGGATTGCGCCGACTTCTGCGGGCGTCGAGGAGGTATTTGGAAGTGATGTTTCAGTCCGCACGGAAGCATCCCAAGGCTTCCATTCGTCAGGTACGATGTATTGCATGTACTTATCGTGGAAGGCGATGTATTGGGGGTCGAGCTTGTCGCGAATAGAAGAATGAATGGGCTGATAAATTTCCATTGTGAACGATAGGGGGAAACTCCACGTATTTGATTGATCAGTCTGCTTTATATTAAGGACCCTCGTAGAGCGTTGGCCTGTAGTTGGATTGTCTAGGGTACCAGTTGGAAGGATTGCAGCTGACTCGTGGTATCCGGATATGTAGCCCCTCATTTACCGGCTGGTCGGCATCTGTCATGCAGAATTCCTTATCTGCCTATACTCGATCATATGGTGCAGATTCTATGCTCTATACCTGAAGCGCGAAATGATGACTACGCTAAAACAATCATTTTATACGATAATCACACGACATCGCTTCACCCTTGTACACGCCGTTGCAATTGTTATTGCTTACAAGCTATACTCCATGATAATGCCCTCAAGAACGTACGATGGCTAAGTATGTAGTAGAGCGGCTCGCTCTCCCGATCGGACTTGCATGCGGCACTCAAAGTGTTCTGGATGACTGCATAAAGTCAGCACACTGGCCGGTTTCGACATCTGAAGCTCACCTTGACAGCCCATTCGAGAGCTTGATGGACGGCATAATCTCATTGCCTTGTTCGTCAATAGGTGGTAAAAATTCTACCACTGACAATAACGTGACGATCATGATATACACCCCAGCAGTTGCAAGATGCTGTCCAATGCAAACACGACGTCCGAAACCGAATGGTCCTTCTGGTAACGGCTCACCACGTCCTCCTAGCTCGATAGGTAGATAGCGACTGGGATTGAATTCATCTGGGTCTGTGTAGACAGCCTCATCATGACACATAGCCCAAGCATTCGCATATACAACTGATCCTCCGGGTATAAACATGCCTTTATAGACGTCATCTGCGATAGAAGCGTGTGGGACACCAAGAGGAGACAGAGGGGCCCAGCGGAGAGTCTCTTGTATGACGTTCTCAAGATATGGTAGTTTCTGACGATCTTCGAACGACGGTAACCTGTCAGTATCGACAATGCTATCAATCTCTGCTTGTGCCCTGCGCTGGACATCCGGATTTCTGACCAGGTTGAGGATGCAGATGATGATTGTTGACCAAGTGGTGTTACTTCCGGCGATACTTATGGCACCAGCAGCGCCTTTCATATCCGCGATGGAAGCTTCATTGTGTGAACCATCTGACAAGTTCTGTCGGTATTTTTCGTAGTGTGTTCGCATGAATGAAGGAAATTGAGCTGTTCCCCTCGCGATTTCAGGCTCGGTAGCTGCCCACGGCACGTTGTGCAAGTTCTGAATTGATGATTTGGACGCTACAGCATGCCTGACTGGACCAGATCTCAGAAGCCAACGGGGTAGATGTCGTAAAGTAGGAAAGAAGTCGACCAGAGTGCTTGCAGGAACGCCTCCATTTGCGGTGGCATCTTCGACATCAATGACCATCTGCACATAAGGGTCGCATTCATCCTTGATGGTGACACCAAACCCAATGCGCATTATGACAGCTGTGGAATACTTGCGAAGACCAAGTTCCCAATCGCTAGGGTCACGCAAGATGGAGGACACAGCTTTGCGGGCTTCATCTTCTTGAATGGGGCGATACTGCTTGCAAGCAGTTGGCGTAAATGAACTCTGCAGAAGCTTTCGGTGAAGCCTGAAGCGGGGGCCCCAGCGCAGAAATGTGAGAGTGATTCCCCAGCCCATTAGCTCGAATAGAACGAACCGCGGTCGATCTGAATAATTGGAGCCTCGTTTATCCAAAAGCTCATGCGCTGCCTCTGTGCTGTTGAGCACAACGATAGAACGTCCAAGGACGATGAAGTGGAGGACATCGCTATCTGTCTGTTTTGTTAGCACATCTGACTTGTCTTCCGTGCGTGGCTAGTACTGACTGTACTTTCGTCCCCACGCGATATACTGATGCTCAGGATGGTCTGCTGGAATGAGACGGAAATGACCAAGCAGGGGCTCTCCAGGAGGACTTGGAGGCAGCCGGTATTGCGATGTTTTCCGAAATCTAGTGGCCGCAGTAGCTAAGACCAGCAATGCACAGAGAATCGCGGCCTCTGCAATGAAGTGCATGGTCATCTTTGAGCCATGAACTCATGAACACCAGGCTTGTATGTTAGGCTGAGTTAAGGAAACCCGGTGTGGATGATGTTCCTTTCCACCTCTGCTGACATTGATGGATGGTGGGGCTTCAGCGTGGGACAGGTGGAACAAACAAATCGGAAGAGTTATCCGGCATTTAGACAGCAATCGCGCCTGTTACGGCTCGAGTGGACGACTCTCGTTTCTCAACAGGGCAACAATAATGCAGGAACCTCAGTGTCAGACGTTCGTAAACATCAGAAAATCACGTAGCTTTGTTATGAGCCGTTCGATTGCGATTATGTCACCACTACTATTCATGTTAGCGACTGCATAGGAAGCCTTCGTTGCAACAACTACTCAAGAGAATCCTTACCAAAAATTCCACGTTCTTGGTGAGAATATAAATTCAGAAGGTAGATTCAGAAGCTAAATTCAGAAGCTACTGTCTACGAACCAAGCATTGCAACTTTGCGGTTGCAGCTCATGCATCATACCTAGGGCAGAATAATACCACAGCGGCACAAGAATGACTTAAGCTGTTCTCAGAGCAAGTATACCATCATTGTGTTGCTGTTGGTACTACTTCAGTTGGACTTGTATACTCTCAGCAATATGGATATGTCCTTTGTTGTTGGCATCGGCCTTCAGTACGAATTGGGCAAATTGTTGGCAGGTGCGTTTACCGGATGAGGCCACCAGTGGCTCATTGATCACTGTCAAAGATATCGACAAGCCAATGGTAAGTAATGGAAGCTGCAGTCCAACGTAGATGGAATTGTAGAGCGGCGCCGTGCGCACCTCTAAAATCCATGGCTGATACTCAATTTTTCGGCGTTAGAACTGCCATAGAGGCTTTCGCAATACCTGAGCAAGATGGCTCTCTGAGCTCTGGCCATTTTACACTCATCGCAATGTCGCGACAGAGATCAAAAGCCATATGGTCGATGGGATGAGCCCTGTCGTATGCCGCGTAAAGGTCTAGGTCATATTCAGTCAGCCCCCAAGCAAATGATTAGCGCATGTATAGAGTGGTATTCGCCGTGGAGAGACGCTACAACGGAGAGTCTTGAGCCCAAAAGAGTTGCTAAAGGGGCTATGGATATGTTGTCCTAAGATTCGAGGCCGTGTCAGTGAGCTGACGGGCAAATATAGCTTTGATGATGCAGACTACCGCACACATCTTTTTGAAACAGTATATTATCAAATTTGGGGGCAAAAAAACTCCGCTTATATCTCATTCTATTCGAATGACGAACTGAGGCCGGTCGTTCCGCACAGATACACCAGCTGATTTCCGGTCGAGATCCAAAGGAGGGTCCCTTGTTCATCTAGAAGCAATTGATCGGGACTTGCCATCTCATGGCTTCGGCAGAATCTGTTCATCGATACGACGCGTTATTGTTATCTTCAAGGTTAGAGACGCGTCGCGTGGTGCGCGTCCATCTAGCAACCAGATATGTAGCCTCATTTGTATAGTCATAAGCCAGAATCGACAGCATGGAGGTTTGGGCTTAGCATATACATAGTGTTCTGACCAGGACGAAGAAGGCTGAAATTGATGATATGGAGTGAAAGGCTTCATCCGAGTCTCCACTGTAAACAGAAACGCGCAAAACGCGCTAAGCCAAATAGAGACGGGCATCACGTGAGTGGGCCCATCTCATCAACGTCCTTTCTTTCTCTTCGACAAATTCCCCGCGATTATCTTGCGTTGACAGGTCCATCGTCTCAAGATACTGGATGAATCTATCTCATAGATGCATTGCCGCTCCACTGGTCTGCCCTTTGTTTCATTGCATCATCTGCTAACCCTTAGATCAATACATCACAGAGGCAACTGCGTTTAAAGGAGCTCGGCTACCAGATGTCTGTTGCTTATAAGCAAAGCCGTTACAGATCTATCCTCAGTGAGTGTCCCTGAAACGGCACAATCTGATACACCAAGACGATCCCGATGGTCATCGTTCAACCTCCGCGGGCATCGGACTGACGGCTTCCATTTGACTTACCGGACTGACACAATGCTTCTCCAACTGTGCAACATTGTTCCATGACAAAACGTCATGCAGGTAGTAGTTCGGATTCTCTACGTCTTTTGAGATACAAAAGCCAAAGTTGTTTAATGACGATCTGCGATATGCATTTCCACGATAATGAGATATGAAATTACCAGGTCGTACCAAACGGTAGATGCGCAACTCTACCGACGCCATTCGTTGATCGGTGCTCATCGCCCGAAACGCCGCTCCATATATCTGAAAGGGGCATAGAGTACAAAGCTTACGACGAAAGCGAGTTCGAAGCCGATGTCACCAGTCTTTTTACCGATGGGACCTTCGAACCATACTTGTGACATGCCTGGTATGATCAAAGCGAAGGACAATGCGCTTGAGAGCAAAGCAGCAAGACCCAACGGTAGCTTACTCGCAACATTCCAACTTGCTTGTGGATAGTTCTCTGGTCTCGATTGGCGAAACAACAGGTGCTCGCATAGCACAGTCGCAGTCCACGACGACGACCAAAATCCAATGACGCCAACAAAGTTTTCAACATTAACGAAGAACTTCTTTGCAGCCTCTACCGATAGTGGGATCATCAATATCGTGGTCACAATATTGAAATAGAATCGAGGAATCCGAGCGAGCCACGGCACGGAAGCCTGGAAGTTTAGTGCGATCGCGTACATGGTCCCAGCGAGATTTGCGATGATACTGAAAGCCAGGACTACTAATAGGAACTTTCCAAACCGTCCCACGGGGTCGAGTATTGCAGCTAGTATGAGTCCAATAGATCCGGTTTCTTGTGCTGCAGCCCAAGTGCTATTGTTAGGCGCGGCGCCGCCAATTGCGGCTCCGAGGATGAAGATGGGTATGCTCGGCAGTAACAGACCTGCGTACGTGTACATGAAAATGCGAACCCTGGCAATATGATCAACAAGGGTAATGTTATCTCTGGAAGGTCACTTACGGCGGCGCATTCGGCCTCATGTATACGGTGAAGTCTGATCCCAAGGCAGCCCAGGGGACGAAATACCCAGCAATTAGTCCTCCAAATGACAGCACGGCCTGCGCCGATGCAGGAGGGACATCAGTCTGTATGCTCATGTGTTTCCCTCCAATACCAGCAGTAATGATGAGACAGATCAAAGCAGCAATCCACGCAAAACGCTCGTAGTAGTGTAGGACTCTGTAGCCAAAGACGGAGATGACAAGGGACAATAAGCCGACAATGACGATTCCTACGTTCCAGCTCATAGAGCTGTCATCGGAAGCTGCGGACAAGATGCCACCCCCAAGGACGTCGGTGATGATACAGAAACCAATCAAAGTGGCAAGATTAAGCACAACAGGTACCGAGACAAGATATCGTCTGCATAGGTCAGCACAGCCCTGTATGCTCTCTCGTGACGCACATACCCCCATGAGTATCTCGATATAATCATCTGGCGAAGACCCAGCTTCGGACCCAAGGTTGAGAAGTACGAGACGGGAATAGCAGTCAACAGACTGAAGAAGATGATAACCAGCGACGCGTCCCGGAGACTCAAGCCATATGTCGCTGTGCCGAGGATTCCAAATGGAAGTCTGGCGCATAAGTCAGTTTTTCCGAGCCGCATCATTAATATCAACATAACTCACGGAAGCACACTTAGCGACATGCTCAGCCATAAGGTAAAGACATTTATATAACGTGTATCGTTGCGCTCGTCCTCAGGAACTGGCTGGATCCCACGGACTTCGAATAAGTCATGTTTGACTTTCAGCCAAAAAGGGCTCCTGACCGAGCTCTTTTCACCAGACGCGAGCTCAGTGGCCGAAGCAGAGTGTATTTGAGTCTTCTCAATGTCATCCGTAAGATCCATGGTGACTGCGTTGGGCTGAGACCAAAGTGGGGCAAAGTGAAAGAATTTCAGAGCACGCGAAAAGTCACCTTAGTCTTCTTATAAGCACGAAGTCAGCAACGCTTACAATCATTCCATCAAATTTCATATCAGCGCATTGGTCGGGTCCAGGGTGCTACACAACGTGCATACTTATCGCCTTGCATCTAGCAGCCCAGCTAAGTAGTCGTATGCGTATCTGCGGCCGAGGCAAGGGTCAGATCCGGGGTAAGCCTCCTGATAAGCCATATGCTGTACATTCTCGGACGCCGACCAAATCCGGTAGACTGTTGTTACCGCCATAGATACCTTCCGCGCACACCGATATCAGAGACGTGTGAGTCACACAGACACAACAGACATTGGCTAAAGCGTTGTTCTGTATCTGGTCTTGTGTGTATGGATCGTGCCCAGTGGGTCCAGCCATCGCGAACATCCACAAGGACCATCAATGTACAGCGCACAAGTGTGAGTCTAAGATTGTTATTCGACAGCAAGAGATTAGAGCTTAGCTTGCAATTCGAAGCCTTATGTCTACTATATATCGACAATACAGATCTATGAATCCAATAATCATTTCTTAGAGCTATGTCTTCAAACGGCCCTACGATAGACCTACAGATTTCACAACAGACGCTTCCTGAGCCCGTCGAAGAGACAACTAACAAGCATTCGAGGAAATAAAAATGCGCCATCGCCATGGTCATGGCCGCCGCGGCGCTGTTCAGACATGGCATATCCTTTTTGAAATCAAAAATATAACTGACCATCTGCGTAAGCCCATTCCCAGGCAACATCTACTACTCGGCGATTCCTGAGTTGGTAAAGGATTTCGACGGATCCATTGATCAACTCATCCTGAGTGTCGCCGTATGTCTGGTCTTGCAGGGCGTGGGTAAGTTGCAAGTGAAGCAAGGTGTCATTTGAGTCTGACGCGGACCTTGTGAAGTTCCTATGGTATAGGGTCCGCTGTCTGATCGATATTGAAGTAGGCCCATCTTCATCGTTTGTCTCACCATTCTCGTGATCGACAGTATCGGACTTTCTCTCATACCGACATCGGCATTCTGGTCGATGTCTTTCCTACGATCGATCCAGTCTTTTGGCGGCGCAAGTATTACTGCACTGGATAAAGCTGAGATGCCACATTCGTGAAAATTCGTTGAAATCCAAGGCGCCGGCGTGATTAGTGACATCACCAGGTCTGAGGAGCGAGCAGAGTATCTCTCAGTGTGCGAATTCGCTCCCATAGTAGGCTCAGTTGTGAGTACTTGGTGCCCCTGAACCAGATTATTCTCATATCCGTTCCCAGATCGGACTCTCTGGTAGACATCCTATCGACGGAGACCTATTTAGACAGCTAGGTCGGAGGCCGGAACTCCTTATCAAACAGTGAACATATTCAATAGTCAACACAGGTTCATATTCTGGTTTCTTGCCTTCACTTGCGCAGTATGCCTCCACCTCATCACCCTGCTCGTCCTTGGCATAGTGTACTCCATACATTAGACCATCACAGTCACAATAATCACCTCATTTGATAGCCGTACACCCGACTCTCTCAACTACGGCGCTTAGACCGTGTCATCTAGCGTCAGGATTGGGAATGCTGCTGGAAATATAACCACAGGAGAGTGCTCCAATGCTGATAAGCAGAACGAAAAAGTTCTTCTGCGTCTATCGATACAAGCTGTACAAAAGAATTGTAATTATCCAATAGAAGAGCGCTGGAAAAGAATCAGTGTCGCTGAAGATCCTATATATGATCCATTGTTATTCATATATACGTATACATCATAAGTAAGCAAAAAGCGGAGGAGGATTCGATCAGTACAGGTTTTCGTGCTTATATACGGTATGTATTTTTCAGTCTCCTACTGTGTGCATGCATGGGGTTGAAGAGAAAAAAATTCAAGACACCAACAGAAGGAGCAAATACACACACACCCATGTATAGTTATGTATGCCCCAAGAAGAAGAATAAGTAGTAGGGAAAGCAGAGCCGCTGGACGCTGTCACAGTACTGCGATGCTCAACAGTCCATTGACCACCACTCACCCATTCTCATCATCCTCGGGACAATCAATGCGTATCCCTTTGATTGTTGGATGCCTTTTCAAGTTTCTCATGCATGAGTGCGTACTTGTCCATTGAGAATGACACTGGTGGTATCTTGCCATCAAGAGGCTCGCACCGTCGACCTTTTCACTCTATCAAGCTCAGTCGAATAGTGCGATTGAAGACGACGAAATAAAGTCCTTTTTTTTTTAGAATTTGAACATGCATTGACGTCCTACGTGGACCCCGCAAAAAGGACCTAGACGCGACATAAGAAGCACTATATGTACACCAATATCCCCAATTCTGCCCGCTTGTCATCTCTTACAGAGCACCATCCGTGCGGAAACGAGGATCACCCTCCTTCCATTCTGGCACATCCGTCAGGCTCGTGATTCCTTGCGAATTCTCACACGTCATCCGTCCGCTCAAGGGCCCCGGCGTCGGCACTGTCACGCCACCGGCCGCATACTTCCTGCCCTGCGTGTCGATTTCATTTCCGGCTTGAACCCTGGGATCGATGCCCGTGATGGCCCCTGTGCCTTTCTCGCCCACGAGTCCTACGGCACCGCCGTCTGCACCTGTTTGTTGTGCGGCGGCCCGTAGAGCTTTTAGCAGATCACGCGTTGTCTCGTAGGTCAGATCTTCGTAGAAATCGTCGTTGATCTGGATCATAGGGGCGTTTGCGCAGGCGCCCAAGCATTCGACCTCTGTGAATGTGAAGAGGCCATCCTCCGTAGTGTGGCCGTGGTGAATGCCAAGTTCATCGGATATGGCTTTCATGACGGCGTCGGAGTCGCGGAGCATACACGGGGTCTAATATGTGATTCTTGTTAGCCCAAGTATCTTTGGGATTAGGTGTGAAATTAATCTTTATGAATTTTCCACTGTATTGAAGTAGTCAATGGCAAGCTTGGGAGACATACCGTCGTGCAGCACTGCACATGGAACCGTCCCACAGGATCTCTGTTATACATCGTATAGAACGTTGCAACCTCGTACACGCGCATGGGCGGCATTTCTAGCAATCGCGCAACCTCGTGCATCACACTGATACTTGTGAAACCATGTTGGCGCTGCCCGAGATCAAGCAAGGGCATCACGGCAGCCTTCTTGTATTGCGAGGGATAGCGAGCGAGGATCTCCTCGATGAGCTTTTCGTTCGTCGGTGAAAACTTGAAGGGGATGCTTGGGTTATTTTGAGGCGTATGGCGATGCTGGGATATGTTAGTTTAGATTGCACCTGAGAGGGAGATAGCAGGGGCGCATTAAGAAGCCCGTGGCATTCCCATAGCCGTTTGGAGTGCTATATAGTCTCGTCCCCAGGTCTACGGTGCACGAGTCCAGAGAGAGTCGTGCGAGAATACATACCACTTGGAGTGTGTCGCTTTGCATCCTCGTGCTGGCGCTGATAGTTCGCCATTGAGCTCTCTGGACCCTGGTAATGGCTCGAGGAGCACCTCGTGTGAGCATTGGCGTGAATAACGAGGCCATCGCGATGTGTGAGTTGGGACAGCGATGTCAACAGCGACGATGATGCTGTGAGGTTGAAGTGTAGCTTTCCCCATTGCTAGCCTTACGAGCGGGCCAATGAGAACGGACTGGTAGATCAGCATATATCAGGCAACAAGGCAGTAATGTTCAGTATTGATGACTGCCCGAAGAAGTCGATTGGTATGAAGATATCTAAAATGATATCACTATTGATACCCTTATAGTCAAGATTTCGAAATCGGCGTATCCAACGCCCGACAGTCTCAACAGTAATATAATATACACAGCGCAAATCTCATGTGCTTTTCATAGCATATTCCAAGCCAACATCTTTGCTCGTAATTCTCTCTGCATCGCCATACAGATCTTGCCTCTCAATATGTTTCTAATAGAGTAAGTGCGCCATTCATAGCGCCGGTGTGGTACCAGGTATCTTTCTTGTAGGGATATAATGCAGCAGACATGTGAACGCTCAAAACATAACGTGAACGGCCTAGGTTGGCAAGATGTGAAAATATAAGGAGATGCGCTGTCTATAGCGCTAAGAATGAGGCAGGTTTGGCGTTGAAATAAGGTTGTTTTGGTCCAAATGCCCATCGTCATGGCACGACACTGTACCCGCCACTTCATTGTCATGCACCCCTCCACCTAGGTCTGTCTTCCAGCTTCGACGTCCGTCCGCTAACCGGTCCACTCACCGACCGCTGAGTCACAGATTGCGGGAGGAGACTCTGGCGTTTGTTCAGGGAGCTCATTCGACCATTGGTTTTCGCCGTGCGTAATGTCGGACTGACTTCATCCTCCTCGTCATATTCCTCGCGGACGCTGTCATCGGGTGTAAGCAGGCTGCTCTTACGACCACTGAGGTTTGTCGAGTTCTTGGAAGACGAAGCTGATAGTGTGCCTCGAAGCGCAGAGCCGGGCCGGCGCATGGGAGTCATGGGACTCGCAGCGATTGCGCTCGTTCGGCGAGAGCTAGACGGTTGTTGGCCCGGAGTTGTGGAAGCTGACCTTGCGCCTGCTGATGGAGGTGGAGATGCTAATGAGCGCGATAACGGGCTTCGCATTGGCAGAGATGAATGAGACGCAACTGATCGCAAGCTATTTGGGGTACGAATGGTAGGTGTACTACTGCGGGCAGGTGTGTCAACAGCCAATGGCTTGAAGTTGTGGCCTATCTTTGTGCCGTTTAGATTAGACGACGAGCTCCAGCGAGGTTTGTTTGAAGGTGATTGTGACGATGGCTGTATGGAGGTTCGCCGGCCTTGTGTAGGTGTTGATGAGCTCATACGAGTACCAGGTGTTGGCGAGGAGACCGAGCGCGATTCCACAGCACTTGATCTTGATACGGGCGTTTTGCGTGGCACTTGGCTGGGACTTGGTGTTGGCAATCCGCTTCGTCGTTTGACTGCTGCTGGGTTGGAGTCGGCTCGTGAACTGCTACTTGCAAAACTTGTTTGTCGCGATTTACGACCATATGGAGAATGGTCGCTGTTTTTCCGGCTCAGGATGACAGACGAGGCAGACGAAGTTCCAGGAGTATCCAGAGCACTGCTAGCGAATGACTGTTCAGTTGAAAGAATGGTAGAAATGGAGTCGCGTAATTGCTGGCTCTTGTGAAGTTGAGAATCTTCTAAAAATGCATCCATGTCTTTGACCTCTTCGGAGAGCTCCGTCAATTTCTGTCGCACATCGGTCTGAAGTCTTAAGATCTCGCCGTTTATTGTGAGCCTGTCTTTGATACCTCTTTCAATGACGGTCAAGACTCTCTCGATGGCTGGCGGGTAGTGTGGCTTCTTTTCCTCATATGAGCGTAGTTTCAAGGCGATGTACTCTGGATCTGCATTGTCCTCAAATGCTTTTCGCAGTTTGCGTATACTTCTTGACAGAGATTGCCACATAGTAAGGGCCTTGTTTCCAGCATTACGGAACAAGTGTATCCATCGATCCTCACCAAGCTCTCTCCGTAATGCTTCAGCATCAGCCTCGAGTTTCTTCCATTGCCCTTCGAGGGTGGTTTTCCTGTCGTCCAGCTCACCGCAAGCTGTGGGAAAATTTGGACTGGCGCGTAGACTGAAGTGCTGGAGTCTCATCGGCAAAAAGTCTAACGAAGCTCGGAGTGGCTGCATGCGGGCAAACAGAGCAAGTAAATTTGAGTCCTCATGTTTGGTCTCCAGCGTTGGTGATAGTAGTGGCGAGTTTGAACCAAAGGCGGGGGTAAAGCTGAAGCGATTACTGGCAACGGCTTTCTTGTTGTTCCGAGGAGCTTCTTCCACAATGGTTTCCAATTCTTGGAGCTCCAGCAATTCACTTGCATCGCCTTGCGCTCCAGCGAGACGATATCTCCTTTCTTCCATCTCGAATACAAGTCTGTTAAGAGCATCAATTTCCATACCAATCTCCCCAAGTACAACATTCCAAAGTTCTTCCCACTCCAATGCAATCTCCACTTGCTCCTTGATCCCTTTGAGTGTTTTCTTGATCTTCGTCCATTTCGATATAATGTCCTCCATCTGACCGACGAGGAACTTCAGATCATTCGCGGGAATAGCCATTATATCTTCACGTGCTTGTAGCTCTTCAATAGCGCCAATATAGACTTCTACTAGGCCTTCGAATCGAGTGATCGCTGCATCGACCTCTTCGAGGCCCTCTCGACCAGCTGCAGCGGCCCATTCGACATCGTCCTCAGCGTCGAGTCCGTTCAAAACTTCAGCACCTTTCTTGATCCATTGCTGTATCTGATTAGCAGCTTCTCCTAGAGCACGTCCCGCTGCAGTCGAAGTGGAAAGTCCTCTTATGCTGGCTGCGAGCGAGTCCGAATTCGGGAGGTTGATGGAGGTGAGCTGTAGAATCTGGTTGGTGAAGGAAACGCGTGACAAAGAATATATGGAGTTGGCACGCGTCGGTCTGTTGCAATAATTTTGAAGATCGCTGCCTCCATCCGCAAGTGCGCGCCATGGAATTGCAGGTGACTCCGGCACAAGAGGTGAGTCCTTCGGCGGAGGGGTTGGGCCACGAGAAGGCTCATTTGAGATTATTGTAGCAGTGCCATATCCATCTTGAGCTCCAGCTGTACCTGGTCGCGAGCGTGTACCCGAGCCATATATTGTCGCCGTACCAAAGTAACCGTCTGATGTCCCAGGACTCTGTACCTTCTCCAATTCAGGCAGTCGGTATTTCTGATTGTCTACAACGCGTTCGCTCTCTGAGTCAGACGGCACAGCATGGTCGCTAGTGCTGATGATAGAAGACTGTTCGCTGTCGATGGACGCAGGCTCCGCAGGTTCCATAGTATCCAGCGCACTCGTGCTGTCCCTGGATCGGACGCTTGTTTCAGACTCCTCAGGCAACAGCGCAGGAGGCGTGCCGGGACCGGTCCACTCTCTTCCTCTTCGCTCCACGAGGATAGCTCGCTCGCGATGGAAACTGTCAAGTTCACGAATCTGGCTTGCCGGGATGCGGCCGATTTTGTCCTGGCCGTTTACAGGACTTGACACTACACGGGCTTTGTTCGCGCTGTCGAGCAATTTCATGCGCGCCAACAAGCCCGGCGATGGCCTTCGCAGGGTACGACTGCGCTCAGAGGTTGAATCTCGCGAACCAGGGCGATCGGAAAGGGGCGAAGCGACCGGAGAAGGAGTCGGTAGAGGCTTGAGGGTGTTGAGTGGAAGTGTATCGAGATGAAGGTGCTCGTCGAGGCGGCCACGGTGTTGGGGCTGCGCTTGGCTGCTGGCATCCAACGACGTAGGCGGTGACGCTGCAGCTGCAGCTAAAGGTAATCTGGGTTCCGGCGACGAATTCGCAGTTGCGGGCATTTGTAGCTCTCCCTTGCTTGCTGTTTCACCAGGTGAACAGCGACGAGCACACCAAGCAGCGGGCAGAACGGGGCAGAGTGAACAGGAGCAGCATAGATAGGAAAGCCCAATCAATTCGAACAACGACGTATGTATACACGAAGGGGAGAGATGAGAGGTGGCCCAGAAAGAGGCGGGCCACACACAGACCCTCGGACGGCTGAGTAGCGTTGTTGGCCCACCCTTCCCAGCACTTTCATGCCAAAACGCGTCTTCAACTGTTGCCCACACACGCGCCTTTCCGAAACCAACAACGGGTGACGCGCCGGATCAACAATGATCTCCCTGCCTCCCGGACGCCACTGCATATATGCCATATGCTGACAGAACTTTGTTCATTATGTTCCATTCATTTGGTACCAGCAGGGCTAGGATGCCGTCGTTAGCACCTCCCAACGTCCTGTTCTTGTTCTTCACCTCAAAGAGCCGATTCTTGTTGTTCGGTTCGCGTATTTCTCCGATAGCAATGGCGTTGTTTGTGATACTGTCCTGATGCAGTTTCCTCACGGCCATCATTCATGGGCATGCGGCAATAGAACATGCAATATAACAGCAACGTGATAGGATTATTACTTCTCTTTAGATACAGGAATACCCTGGAAGTCTTCACCAGCTCATTGGGTCGAACGCTAAGCTTTCAGTTCCAGCCTCAAAGGCCCGCCCTACCAAGCTATCAACCGTTCACGTCTGACGCTAGTCTCGGAATTTATCCTAGTCAGCATAGTCACGATATGGATGATATCAGTCATTCCTTGGAGCGAAGGAGCAGAGGTGTTGGTCCTGCATATAGACATTGTTCTGATATATGAAAGATGATCAGAGTAGTTCAATAAGACTGTTTAACATTACTTGAATATATTCTGATATCGTCCTATTCATGGTCTCTTCCACATTTTATACAGGTAGGATATCCGATATCCACGTCAGCCAATGGCCTATCACGCTTCTAACCGGAACTGATTCCGTTCAACAATTGGGTGTTGGCTGTTTGGGGCATACAAATTTTCGGTGTCGTGGGATGGTTCAATGACAATCGCGTGTAATAAGAAGCCTAATAAACGGAGAAACTTGAATTACACTAGAAATTGCCTCCAATAACACTATTAGCCTATCACAGACTACACTTGCATTTCATGCTTGTGTCGATACTATACGAAAGTTGAGCTTGCAGGCCGCTGGAGTAGAGCGCGTGTATTTGTTACCATGTTGCTCTTACCTGCTCTGTAGTAGGAGTCATAGAATTCCAAAACGGTTCGACGACTTTGGTGTCGTCTATACTACAATCCAACACATGTATATCGTGATCCCGAGAGCTCAACATGGATGTCTAGCCACCGAAATTCCAAATGTGCAAAGTTCAGGTGAGCCATTTAAAGTAACCCACGGTACCGGTGTCAACACATGTTTCGAAAGCTATCGTGAGCAAGGCTTCACGCCTAACTTGTCCTCGAAAATGAATTCAAGCGCCTAGTCGTTCGGATGAGATGAGAGAAGATGCTTGAACAGAATCGGTCTCGAGTCGCGACTCTAACAGAAAACAAGCAATTAAGAATGTATCTTTCACTAAGCCACAGGAGCAAGCTATATAAGTAGCAGTCCGTAGCAAGCAGAGAACGGAACACCGACAAAGCCCATTCCCCGCTTACGCATCGAAAAGGGGAGATATACTTAGGTACGTTTTACGGCTGAACCTAGGGCTGAGACGAGGAACAAGAGTAAGACAGGAAAGTGGAAGCGCGCCACCTTGTAACATATCGGGCATCCATCCATATCAACGCCAATCAACACTACCTTCCATGGTACTGCGGACAGTAATAAGTAAGTAAATGGGTACAGTAAAAAGTGTATACTGTAAAAGCCAGGAAAGCCAGCCGGAATCTAGACTGGCTGGCGACGATAGCGGCACAGGGGTGGAGAATAGATAATGAAAAGAGAAGAAATATAATGTGGATCCGATGCAGGTTTTTAGCATGGTGAGATGGAATAATATCCAAAATATATTACATTACATGCGCCAGGGTATGCCGGCAAGCCAGGGCCACACTGTCAGGGCCAGCCGCCAGCGGTGGTAGGGTAGTCGCACCCTGCAGGTGGCGCCCGGGCAATCCATTAGCACTAGCAGATATATGCCAGGAATTGGCCGAAAAGAGACGATGTGGTATCGTTAGTAAGACGGGCAATAGATTGAGTTGCATTCACAGTAGATGGCTACGAGGACTGTCGGAAGAGCTATGTTTGAATGTCATCCATCCATTCCCGTTTCCGTTCACAGCTTTTGATTATTTTACTTGACAGATGGTTCGTTCTAGCACATCTAAAGAGGCTGTAATTAGCTCTACGCTGTATCTGTGAGCAAGCTTCCCAAAGGGCGTACAAACGCTCAAACAGGAATCTATCTAAATTCGCTGTACACATCATCTGTTTCCCAGGTGTCCGTGACACGTTCCGTCTAGTATCTCCAAATGCCCATTCATCACGTCGTTTTTCTTTTCCGCGCATCTCAAATGCTCAAACTTGAAAAGAATGCGGTATCATCTAATTCTTGGAAGACTTGCTAGACTTCTGGCGCTGGTGGCCACTGGGTTTAGCGTGTGACTCCGCGGAGGTGAGAGTCGCCGTGGTTGGGACAGGCTTGAGAGTCTCGACAGACCCGGCGAAACCAGGCTTCTGGAACGCCTGCGCACCATCAACAAGTCGGCGCTCAGTGTTCTTTCGCCCGTTGACAAAGTCTGGGTAGTTCAAAGTCAGCTCGACGGCACCGTTGACAATGTTGTCAACGGCCTCAACACCCAACATGAACGAGTGGTCCTGGTTGCCAACCTCGTAACGCCAGCTGCCGAAACGACCGCGGGACCAGATGTCCTTGGCCTGAAGCTTTGGCAGAAGCTGGGTGAGGACACCCTCACGCTCCAAGGCTGGTGTTGGGTAGCCGTGATCAAAAGCACGGTGGTACGTAGATACAATCTCGTCAGTTGGCTTCAACATCTCGGTGTTGATCAAACCCTTCAGGCTGTCTCGTATGATGTTGGCAATGTCCACGGGCTTCATGGAGGACTCAGAGATCTCCAACATGACAGACCAGTACGGGCCGGCTTGTTCCTCTTTAGAACTTGGGGCAGAGCCATCAGCAAGATGCTGTGTTTTGATCTTGACATCAGCTGCAGGTTGATTGTATGGAGAATAGTTGGAGAAGATCGTTGCACGGTAGAACGGGCAGTTGTCCTCGGGGAAGTAGAGCCAGCACTTGTCGCCGATACGCTCGGGCCGTTCACCACGGATACCGAAACCGACGACATGGGTGGTGGAATAGTAAAGTCCCTTACTGAGGTTGACAAGTTCTTGGTCACCCATATGCTCGACAAACCTGTCTACCTCCATAGTGTTGATCAACTTGTTGTATTTGATGGTACGGCCGTCAGCCAGAGACACCGTCTTCGCGTCAGCGTTGACGCGCTTGACTTCACTGCCCTTACCGAAGCTCTTGCTCTTCTCAGGAAGGGTCTTGGCGACTGCAATCCAAATACCACCAGTACCGTCGCGAGCTGGGAATCGGAAAGTGGCATTGGGACCCCAATTACCAGCAACCTTGTTCAGGATCACGTTTGACGTGACACGCTTTAGATCCGGAGCAGCCACACGTTCTCCGAGCCAAGCGCACTGCATCTATAAAGACCGGATTAGTCGGACGCTTCTTGCCAGAAAAGGTTTCAGCATCATACCTTTGTGGTGGGAACAGCCCAAACTTTGAAGTTGTAAGGGCGCATGAACACGTCAGCAATACCAACACCTGCAGTGCGAAGAATCCACTGGTCAAAATCGGTAGGCTTAGTGTTGGAGACACGAGCCTCGAGAGACGCATCAATAAGACCCTCAATACACTTGACTTGGTCTTCCTTCGGAAGCATCGAAATATTGTTTTGGAAGGGGTATGGGACCCATACGCCCTTGTAGCGAACATACGATATACGTTCGTGGGTATACCAATCGTCGTCCTTGGGTAGAGCCTCGTCGATGCAGTCGTCGAAGTACTTGTAGTGGGAGAAGATAACGTGTCCGCCAACATCGTAGAGCTGAAGATAAAATGTCAGTAGTATTCCAGACTATGTGATTTGATATCGCTCACAAAGCCTTCTTCCGTTATGTCGGTGGAGGCAAGACCACCGGCCTTCTCATTTCGGTCGATAATCATCCATGATGGGCCGTTCTATTGTTTGTTAGGCGGGGTACACGCGAGCTTGTCGATGTCAATGAGGCATACAATCTGGTTGAGTCTCTTCGCGGCACCGAGACCAGTAGGACCAGCACCAATGATGAGGACGTCAACCTCGCTGGTGTTTGTTAGCTTTACATCGCCTGCGATTGGGTTGTGACGAGGCTTACATCTGCTCTTGGGAAGCCATGTTGCCTCGTAGAAAATCCGGGATACTGATCTTCTTATAAAGAGATTTTGCAACTCCCAGCATTAACGAGAGTAATTAGACGGTTCTCTGTCAAGGAGGAGACAGAGAGGAAGATGAATCAGGGATAGTGGTGTGCGTTGAGGCAGGACGGGATGAGGGGAAATGGTCAGAGCAGATGTCAAATAGGGCCGTGGGAGGTTTTATTTTTCGAGGTTTACCAGAAATTGAGCGCCCCCAAGACTCGTATCAGATCAGCTAGCTACCTGGGTAGCTGCTATTAGCGGGCGTTGCATCCCCACCTGGCCACTGGGGCAGCGGCTAATAAGAAAAGCTATGGGCTACTTATCGGCTGCCCATTCCACTAATCTGCCACCACCATCTGCTCGCGTCTGTTTAAGGAAAAGGGGCAATGGGAGGAAAGGAGATCCTCCAGGGCCGCTGTAATTAAGAGAAAGTAATTAATGTCTCTAGAAGCGGTCTGGAAGGCTGACTTGTCATTGGAGTTTTCTGTACAGCGTGTGTCCCTTAGAGGTACTGATAGGCGCATTGAAAAGAATACAAGACGCTCACACACTACCCGATTTCTATCTAACGTGCGCCCCCGCGATTGGTGCTCCGTGCCACTGCGTTTCATGTTAGTAGAGGACGACGAAGTTGACCTGTCAACTATCCAGAATCGACTGAGGCAATGTCGCATAACATCCCTTACATCATCATGTAGGTACAGTGTAATAAGCAAGCAAGCAAGCATTTTTGTGAGACGATGTTGACAGGTGGACATGTCGCGACTAATTATTCTTGAGAGGCGTAATCCAGCTGAGCCTCGAAGCATGAAGCCCTGGCGAGCCTCAGCCTTAAAGGGTAGTACACTACCTATCCGATGTAATTAGGGCCAAATGGAGCCACCAACACCTACGAACTTCGAAGGGGAATTAGCTACGTTTTACGTTGTTGCGTGGAAGACTGAACCAGCGATCACGACATTCTAGGCTGGTCGTCGTTACGGGAGTACAGTCAGTCTTAGCCAAAGCTTGCCTGGCCTAGGGGCTCTTTGCCCTGTGCAGGGTATCGCAGCCAGCCTTTCAACGTTGCACGCGCCGAATCCAGATATTTCTTGTACTATGTAGTAGTGAGTAGAGAACAGATTGCATTGCCAAAATTGTTCGATGGAGATGCAACTGCAGAGCCAGCCAGCAAGCCTCGCAGGTTCAGGGGGTCCTGGAGATGGCGATTGGCAAAAGGAGATGCAGGAATGGCAAGCCACTCTCCAAAGCGTGCGCAATCACTCGCCGTCGGGATCAAATTTATGGTGGGATAAGTTCCTAATCTTGAAACCTGGAACAATTCCGAACTTACCTAAGCATCATTTCTGATTGCTTTTCCTCTCTAGCCCCCTTTCGTGCCTTCTCACCGAAAATCCCACCCTCGCATCTAATAATAATCCCTACCGTCGCCGTCTCGTACGGACAAGAGTCTTCTTCATCCCTTCCTCTCGTCGTTTTCGACAGCCATTTGTATCCAACACCACCTGCACGAAATCGCAGTGTGCTGACCTCCTCTTTCTTCCGTCCACATCTTTTCTTCCTCCCCACTTTTGCGTCTGAGCACAGCTCGAATACTTCCACTGACGCCTTCCTTATCACCTCTACCACAGCGCCCAACACACTCTTTTTCGTCCTTACCCTCTTCCTCCAAATTCATCTATAAAACACAATGTCGAGCGACGAGAAAATGCGGTCGTCTGTTGACGCCGCTCGCGATACAGCTCAACCGGTCCTTCCGACTGTCAACCCGGAGGTGAAGCAACAGGAGAAGGCAGCGCTTCACCCAGCCGCTTACATTGCGTAAGTCTCTTCAGTGAATGCAATAACACGCCTACTGCTAAATACTAACTATACCGCAGAACATGGATTGCCATGTCTGGTAGCGTCATTGTTTTCAACAAGTACATTTTGGACAGAGCGGGTTTCCGTAAGCCTATTGCGACATCTCAGAAGACAATTCATTCTGACTCTCTCAGCCTTCCCAATTTTCCTCACCACATGGCATTTGCTATTTGCGACAATCATGACACAGATTTTGGCTAGATTCACAAATCTACTGGACTCTCGGAAGAAGGTGCCCATGAGTGGCCGTGTATACCTCCGTGCTATTGTCCCAATTGGTATCTTCTTCAGTGTCAGCTTGATCTGTGGTAATCAGACCTATCTGTATCTCTCTGTGGCTTTCATCCAGATGCTCAAGGTATGGCGTTCTATGTTAATATGAAGGGAATCTCTAACCATAACAGGCCACCATGCCCGTCGCTGTTCTTCTTGTCACCTGGGCTTTGGGCGTCGCTCCCCCGAACTGGAAGCAGCTCGGGAACGTGTCGTTCATCGTACTCGGTGTAATGATCGCTTCTTTCGGCGAGATCAAATTCGACATGACGGGCTTCCTCTACCAGGTCGCAGGTATCCTCTTCGAGGCTACTCGCCTCGTCATGGTCCAGCGCCTTCTCAGCTCTTCCGAGTTCAAGATGGATCCTCTGGTGTCTCTTTATTATTACGCCCCATGCTGTGCTGTTATGAACTTCATCGTATGGATCTTCGCTGAATCTCATAAGATGGGCATGGTCGATATCCAGCGCGTCGGTGGTTTTACATTATTCGCCAACGCTACTGTAGCATTCCTCCTCAACGTTTCTGTCGTCTTCCTGGTACGTTCTATCGATTTACAGGACAAACTTGATACTAATTCATATCACAGATTGGCAAAACCTCCTCTCTTGTCCTAACTCTTTCTGGGGTACTGAAGGATATCCTCCTTGTTCTCTGCTCCATGCTTCTCTTCCACGACCCAGTCTCTCTACTACAAGCCTTTGGTTACTCTGTGGCTCTCGGTGGCCTTGTCTACTACAAGCTTGGTACTGATAAGCTCAAGGAGTACATTGGTCAGGGCTCACGCTCATGGGCGGAATTTGGAGCAACCCGCCCAGCCTTGCGCAAGCTGATTGTCTTCGGTGTCATTCTGTTCACGATGTTTGTTTTGCTTGGTGGCCTCGCCCCAACATTCGCTCCGGAGCAGTATAACTCTGCAGTCTCGAGCATGCTCGGTGAGAAGGGAGTCTAATCGACTCCCGGGCCGAGCGATACCAGGGGGAAAGCATGACGACCTGCAAAGGATATTGACCACATGACGTGGTAGCGCATAGAAAACGCATGTAACACAAAAAGATATATCTTTTTAATCCCCACGGCGCTGGCATGTTCACCTCTCTTTATGGTACCGGCCTCGCCTCTTTCTCAGACTTGCGCTCGCCGGCGAAGGGCTCGTCCGCATATTCTTCGACACTTCGACATTTGATGTTACGACTTAGGGGGCTTCGGGTTCGGCGTCTTATAGACTTACTTGGCTTCCGAATACGCGCTTCAATGATCGCTGAGATCTTCTGCACTCGACGTTTTATCCGTTCACACCTACAGCCACCCTATATGTTCATTACTTTTCTTTTGGTTGCTGGCGAGACGTCTCGTTTCCTTCAAGGCAGTGTGATTCACGGACTATGAGCAATGCGTGAGGTATGTTGGTGCACAGTGCTGAAGGGGCATCTGACCACAAAAATATGAATGGGTTTATGCAAGGCAACACGCGACCCTGCTTCAATGTAATTATTATCAAGTTCTAGTGATCTCCAACCATGTGTGCTTGATGCTTGGTGGCATGATGAGCAGTGCTGTTTCTCATGACGCCACAACACTCAAAGCTCGCTCTAGAAAGCATACAGATAAGCAACCGATGATTGCTTGTTCGCTGTGTACGCTGCGGCCCGCACCATGTTCCGCAGGCTTAGCGCTATTCAAGTGAAAACTCACGAGTCACGCACGCCGCGTTTCTTACAATTCGAATCCATTATCAAAAAAAATACACCGTGTATCCTCCTACCATAACCCTTACGCGTGATTTGTCTGGCATCAGTCCGAAGTAGTCACCGGAACCCTACTTTGCATATAACTTTATTGGAAGGGAAGTCATCAAGCTCTATATGGCCGCACAGAGCAGTAGCTTTTCTGCTCATTTCCCACGTTACGTGACTACCTCTACTCAACTTGAACTGAATTTACATCTCGCCAGCCTTAGCGTGTCCGAAACATAAAGAGCGTCGGCGGTCCATATTTCCAGGGTCCCCTTACACGCGATTACTACATTCGTCTTCATTTCCACCATGGACACGGTATCATGACAGAGGCTTCGATGATAGCACAGACTTCAATGTGTATGAGGAACCTACCTCACAGTACACACTCAGTTTCCTTGTGGATGACCTCAATCGAGAACGAATCGCGGCCGGCCAGCCTCATGTAAAAGTCCTGAGGAGTTTTTGACGTCATCAATGGCACGAGCACTGATATGCGAGCGTGATCATTTCTCTCAAACTCATATGTACTAATTTTCCAGAATATCCGCTATCATGCTACGCCGATGGCAGGAGACTGCGCATTGGCTTCGATATAACGATGGCGTTATCCTGAGAAAAGTGTTCGCCAACCAGGACAACCTTGTTACAGGGGTAAGACCATCCGCAAGTCATACTTGCTCAATATCATCTGTTGTATGACTGAGAATGTAAGATATGGGGCACCACTTTGACCTACATAGTAGAGAACTCGTGTTTGCACTCGATCAAGATTGATTCTAGTATGTGAGAACGGACTGCCACACAGACTTTTTGATACTGTTCGTGAGCGATATTGCCAGTCAAGGCTGAGCCTCAACAATATGACTTCCACTTCATCAACTCACTAGATCTCGTTCGTTGATGACCGGGGAGCATCTCGTCGATCTCCTAGAGTGCGTGGAGCCTAGCCACGACCTCAACGGCGACGTTTGTGATGGCTCGTGACTCGTTTTGACTGCATAATCAAAAGTGGCCTCAGGCACCAGCACCACGCCTTGTGGCTAGTGAGAAATTTCCCCGCCAAGAAGCACAGCCCCAAAGTACCCCGTACCCCTCAGGTCGTTCTCTCCTTGAAGGGGTACGTCAGCGAAAGTGTGCCAAGAGTGCATATTATTTGCAGCTGTTCTCTTCGACGCGCGTGTCGTGCTCAAGCATTGTTCAAATATAGTCACTCCAAGGCTTCCATCGTATAATTAGGCCCGGCGGTACGGTAAATCGTTCCTCTACCATCGCACCACCTTTGAATCTGACAGCGACCCCTCCTAACCTCTGCGCGCTTCACCACAGTCGCAATTATGAATGTGATCAAGCTTCAAAGGTAAGTCTTCCCGCCACTACAATAATCAAGAGTCGATGCTGATGAGATGTTTGATTCTAGAAAATACCCACAGTTCGACCAAGGTGCCATCTTCGGGCTTCAAGATGCATTCCGTAAACTCGACGTTGACGATAAAGGCTACCTTGACGAGGCCACCGTCATAAAGGCTACACAAACATCAGAGCGCCAGCCGTATGATGTCGTCCGCCAGGCGCTGAAAGAAGTGGAACTAGATAGCTCAAGGAGGGTCGAGCTCGACGACTATGTTGACGTTAGTTGTTCTATAGCGATCATCGTCGCTACGAAAAACAATCACTAACGCAGCTCCTCCAGCTCATCTCGAAATTGAGACAATCTTCTCCTGCGCAACAGCGCATGTCGACTGGTCCAACACGACCACGAGGTCTCAGTGGCGCAGCGCCACCCCAATCCCCACAGCATGCGCACAAGAGCAGTCAAGGTGCCAGTGGCGGAGGAAGAATCCAAGTGCAAGGATCGTCTGCCAACGTCACCCATACCATCAACGAGGATGAACGCACCGAGTTCACCCGACACATTAATACAGTTTTGGCCGGCGACGCTGACATTGGGGACCGACTACCTTTCCCGACCGACACGTTCGAGATGTTCGACCAATGCAAGGATGGTTTGGTACTAGCAAAGCTGATCAACGATAGCGTACCAGACACGATTGACGAGCGTGTTCTCAATAGGGAGGGCAAGAAGATTAAGAAGTTGAATGCTTTCCACATGACCGAGAACAATAATATTGTTATCGAATCCGCAAAGGGTATTGGATGTTCAGTCGTGAATATTGGTAGCGGAGACATTATTGAAGTACGAGAACATCTCATTCTTGGCTTGATCTGGCAGGTGATCAGAAGAGGTCTGCTCGGCAAGATCGATATCAGGCTGCACCCGGAGCTGTATCGTCTTTTGGACGATGATGAAACTTTGGAGCAGTTCTTGAGGTTACCGCCAGAGCAAATCTTGCTTCGATGGTTCAACTACCACCTTAAAAATGCTAAGTGGCACAGAAAGTAAGTACTGTCCCCTTTTTTAGAGGCCAGTATTCATGATGACTGTAGTGTGTCGAACTTTTCCAAAGACGTATCCGATGGTGAAAACTATACCGTCCTGCTCAACCAATTGAAACCTGATATTTGCTCGAGAGCACCACTTCAGACGCAGGATCTTCATCAGCGCGCCGAGCAAGTCCTCGATAACGCCGACCGCCTAGATTGCCGCAAATTTCTTACGCCAAAGTCACTGGTGGCTGGAAATCCGAAGCTCAATCTTGCATTCGTTGCCAATCTGTTCAATACCCACCCTGGTCTAGATCCCATCACGGAAGAAGAAAAGGCGGATATTGAGGACTTTGATGCCGAAGGTGAACGTGAAGCTCGTGTGTTTACCCTGTGGCTCAACTCCCTGGACGTGCAACCCACGGTAGTATCGTTCTTCGATGATCTGCAAGATGGCACTATTCTCTTACAGGCGTACGACAAAGTCATTCCTGGTAGTGTGAACTGGCGGCACGTCAACAAGAGACCTGCAAGTGGTGGTGAAGTCATGCGCTTCAAGGCTGTGGAAAACACAAACTACGCTGTAGAGCTCGGGAAACAGAATCACTTCTCACTAGTCGGTATTCAAGGAGCCGACATCACTGACGGTCAGCGGACTCTGACGTTGGGCATGGTGTGGCAACTGATGCGCCGTGACATAATCTCGACTCTTTCGGCTCTAGCTCAACGACTAGGCAAACGCGAAATTACAGATGGAGACATGGTCAAATGGGCGAACGACAAGGCACGCCAAGGCGGCGGCAAGTCTCCAGCAATCCGCAGCTTCAAGGACTCTACTCTTGGTACCGGTGTATTCCTACTCGATGTTCTGAGCGGCATGAAGAGCAGCTACGTCGACTATGACATGGTTGCAAGCGGCAGATCAGACGAGGAAGCGTACATGAATGCCAAACTCGCTATCAGTATTGCTCGTAAGATGGGGGCCACCATCTGGCTGGTTCCCGAGGATATTGCCAATGTCCGCAGTCGACTCATCACCACCTTCATTGGCAGTCTGATGTCCACTTCCGAACGATCGGGATGATAGTTCGGAAGAGTGTGTGTTCATTCCGATGCCACATCACAGCAGAATCGCGGGCTCGCTCAGGTTAATGCTGATGAGATGCAATGGATGGATGGGTGGTGCTAAATAAGCGTGTGAAGGAGTTGTCAAACGAATGCATGCGGCGGGTAAAAGCGCGTGCTTCTCCATAGCTTTGGTTATCAATACAGTATAAGACTTCCTCTTACGATCCTTTCGGCAGGCGAGAGGCTACACCCGAGGCCTTCTCCATGCCAAAACACACTGATATGCGTGTACATGCTTACTATAGGTGAATACCGATCGACAATATTGCTTTCCCAGGAGTAAGACTGAGCATGAGATCCACACTAAATGGTTATCGTTCGGCCGCCAATTTTCCAACCGTGCAAAGTCAGTGTTAAGATTCGTGTGTCGTAATTCGATATTTTCGATATCATCATCACTGTTCTCCTATCAGAGTCCCCTCATCCTCTCATTTATACCATGTCCATCAAGCACAATACCCTCCACCCTAAGTTCCATGCGCTCAAGAGCCCATAAATTCCAGTGGCACAGAATAGTGTTTGTGAATCTCTGGCGATAGTATAACATCCGACGCCTTAACAACCCACAAGCAAGATGCGAAACCGCAGTATATTTGACCTACGTACAGCCCTATCTCCCAAACCTCCCATATTACCGACGTCGACGCCATCTCCCCCCCCCCCCAAGACCCTCCACTCAGCGCCACACCACCGCAAGCAGACCACAAACCACAATCTCTCATATTCACACCCAGACACCAACTCCCCGTTCCTCACACCTGTCCATCCCAATTCATCCCAAACTATGCATACCCAAGCCCAGCAGCATGCTCCAGATCATGCAGTCTGCGATTCAAAATCTCAAGTCTGCGTTTGCACTCGCGGGCGCGTGCAACGATGGGGAGGCGCTGCTCGAGCGAAGCGCCGCGGGAGTCGAGGGCGGAGTATTGGTTTGTGAGGCGGTTGTGTTCGGCGAGGAGGCGGTCTTTGACGTGGAGGGTCTGGCAGATGTTAGTCTCTTGAGTGAGGGAGATTGGAAGCCAGGGAGATGAGTTGAAGTACAGGATATGAGGTAGTTTGTGAGTGTAGAACTGCTTTATGATAGTGGGAGTTGAGAGACAAGTTGAGATTCTCTCAGGGTGAGCTCGTAGTTCATCACGGGAGACGCAGTGATATAAGTCAAGGAATTTCACTGTAAAGGGTTTGTACGTACTGATTCGAGTGTCTGGGTTCCAGCGAGCAACTCGTCCGCAAAGCCAAACTGACACATGGGAGGCGGGTCGTTGCGCATCGGAGGATGAAGCTGCAATGGCGCATGTTGAGGGTGCAGAAAGCCGCCGAAATTGAGCGTCTCGACGTAGTTTTGTGCCTGTTGTTGTGGTTGAGGACCCGCTGGACCATGATATTCTGACTTGATAATTCTGTGAGGGATCATAGGCCCGTTATGGAATGTGTATTGCGGTCCCATGGCTGGCATGAAGGTCTGGTTTGCCATGTAATGCCCGGGCATGTGGTCTTGGAGGACACCGGGCGGGGGCATTGTCATTGCTCTTGGATGAGAGATGGCTTCATTTGGAGTCGGCTCGCGCAGGTACTGTTGCATTGGTCTGTATACGTTTGGGGGACCCAGAGAGGGCTGGCGCGAAGGGCCGTCAGGCACAGACAGGAAGCGAGAAGGAGGCAGTCTCTTTCTCTGTTCGGCATCTGGGATGTCCATGTCCTGTAAGTTGTTAGTGAGGAGTAACAAGGGTGCTTTGTCCCAAAGTCTCTCGGCAATGACTGTGGCTGAGGATCTGACGTGAAGAATTTTACTGGCAGTGTTTAGATACCTTGTAGAAGGCTTCTTCTTCTCTTTGCCCCAAATAATGATTTTCTAGTTGAAATGCTGGAGGAGGCTCAATCTTGAATGTACTCAGATGGTCCTCTGTATACCTTCGCGAAGGATCATATCCTGGCATTCTCGTATGACGTTCTGTCCACGATGTGGGAGCATCATTCTCGGCCATATTGAAATACTCGAGGTCTTTGAATACAACGACAAGACGTTGAAGTAAGGAATGATTGGAGTGCGGTCGAAGAAAGTTTGCAGCTGCGCAGTCTTTTATAAACACTGTTTTCGGGTCGATATGTCAGCATTCACACTAGGCGAAAACTGTTGGGGGAGAGCTTCACAAGTGAAGTATCCCCAACTGACCCGGCACTACTTCAAGTCCATTTCACTATAGCAGTCAGGGCAGTCTTACTTTCGGGATTGATCAACACCATGACTCACATCTAATGACTTTGCTCCTTAGAAGTGAAGCCACATGGCAGAGAATCCAGAGAACAGAATATGACAATTAAGAAGTGAGGCCAGATCTCCTTCACATAGTCTCATGAACGGGTCGACAAAAGAACAGGAGGTGTCACGTTCCTTTCCAGGTCCTAGACAAGAACTGCAAGAAAACCTTAAGGACAGTAATTTCAAGAACATAACGAGGGGCAGGTCCCGTGATCTCTTGATTCTCTACGAGCACCTGATCAAACACAAGTATGCTTTGAGTCTCATGATGGATGGTTGCCTAGCTATTGGAGCGGAAGTATGAGACAGAGCGCACTGGGCCTTGCTGACAACAATACTCACATGAAGCTCGATCTAGCATTTGGCCAAGAGAGGCTAGTATATGGTGAACGCGGAAAATCTCGTGCAGTATGCAGTCATGAAGTTATGCTTAGAGAAGGAGTTCGCTGTTGTCGGCAGAGATCGAAAGATACTTAACGTGGTATTCAGTAACCGCTTCACTTGCAGGAGAGTAATGTTGTCGACGAAACGGATATAGCAACAAGAAGACTGAGATGTCGTCGACTGGAGACCTTACTGAAACGCCACTAGAGGTATTAGAACGAATAGAAGGCCTGGATTAGCTAGGCACCGGTGAAAGAGGTAATAGAGTGCGTGATCGTTGAAGTTCGTGGTCAAAAGTGGTGCTCTTGGCTGGACCCTGCGTGTAGGAGATCAACAAAGTGAAACATCACTTTGACTAAACGTTTCTACGTCATAGCAGCCAGCAGCCAATAATAGTAACTTCTCGGAGTATAAGTATCGAAATAGGCAATCCAATGATTAATATCGTGGAAGTTCGTGGTCAAAAGTGATGCTCTTGGCTGGACCCTGAATATCACACGTGGAGAAGATAAACAAAGTGAAACATCACTTTGAAACACGACCGTGCGTTGATCATAGCAGCTAATAACCAATGATAGAACCTCTGAGAGCGTAGCCACCGAAAGAGGCAATCCAATAACCATTATCGTGGAAGTTCGTGGTCAAAAGTGATGCTCTTGGCTGGACCCTGTATACTTATAAACAAACCTGAAACACGACCAACCCCGTGTCATACGTCATGGCAGCCGATAACCAATAATAATGACCTCTCAGAGTGTATACACCGAAATAGGTAGTCTATAGAACACCATCGTGGAAGTTCGTGGTCAAAAGTGATGGCTGGACCCTGAATATCGTACCTACCTAATCGGAAAGGCCGATAGGTGTCTACTAACCTAATGAGACCTAGCGTGGCTCTACACGGGTAATGACGCCATCTCGAGATAGTGCTTCTAATTGATACTCTGCGACCACATGTTGTCTGTTGCACCATCGAAGTCGTCACTTGCATACATATCAAATGGCTTCATATCTTCCTCGTACAGCTCCCAGAGCTTTAGGCTACTTGAAGTCCGTCGCGCGACCGAATGTGGCGCATACACGCCCTGCATTCCACACTCGTCGCTTCTTAGCAACGTCGACGGAGCAGCCACGTCTACGATTGGGGGCTACAGGTATGTTTTGCAGCTCTATTGAGACATATATACAAGTCCTGATGCTATGTAGCCCCGAATTTCAAGGCCAAAACGACCATTGGCGACATCGATTTCCACGAATACATTGGCAATAGCTGGGCCATTCTGTTCTCCCACCCCAAGGACTACACTCCTGTCTGCACGACAGAGCTGGGGGCTTTTTCCAAGCTGAAGGGCGAGTTTGATAGGCGAGGCGTCAAAATGATTGGCTTGGTACGAACTCGACTACCTGTTGTACCCGTCGCAGGACTTTGAGCTAATCGCACTCGCACAGAGTGCCGACGACCTGGGCAACCACGAAAAATGGGTCTCGGATATCAACGAAATCTCAAAGACAAACGTGACATTCCCCATCATTGCCGATAGCGACCGTGCTATCGCATACAAGTACGACATGATTGCGCAAGAGGACATTGACAAGAAGAACGAATTGCCCTTGACGATCCGCTCCGTCTTCGTGATCGATCCGAGCAAGAAGATCAGACTCACGATGCTGTACCCCGCGTCGACGGGCAGAAACTCTGCCGAGGTCTTGAGGGTCATCGACTCGCTACAGACCACAGACAAGAAGGGTGTAGCTACGCCGATCGACTGGAATGTGGGTGACGATGTCATAATCCCGGTGCCGGTGTCGACGGAAGATGCGAAGAAGAAGTTTGGCGACGTCAGGGAGGTCAAGCCATACCTGCGGTACACTAATGTTGGGAAATAGAGCTGCATCTAAGGTGTAAATGTAGCGATGGTGGTGGACAGAGATAGATCATAGAATGTCACAAAGCTGTACTCTTATAATACCATGTGCAGGTGATCTCAATTTCAACACAACTGACTAGCCATCAGGCTTGTGTTTCTACCCGTAAGTGATGGTCGATTTGGAAGGTGGACGACGACAATGCTGACCATTCATTGTAGCAGGTATCATCGAAGAATCATGGTCAAAGCATACTACTGAGGTAGTGTTTGTTACATCATCAAGAACACCCATATCCAGTCACAACTGGACTACCACGATGTCTCCGTACGCATGGACGACCATACATACAGCCCTACGAGCGAAGGCGACTAGTCTGAGGAACGGTCCATCCCATACTTCCCCGACGAGTTCATGCAGCTCACGTCCTCCAAGAGGTCTGCGTCTATGCGTGATAAGGGCTTGAGGGGTGCCCCAGTCGACTCGACCAGCAAACCACCAAGTAACGAAACACGATACGACCATGGAGACAGTGTCTTGTGCCTGGCGATGGGACTATGGTAGACAAGCTCTACGTGTGGACTTCAGACTTAAGAGACCCGCCAAGTCACGACGGCTGATCTACCGCCTTCTGCTTGGCCATCTCGCGGCGTGCAGTGATAGACCGACAGATCTGGAATGTCGCCAAGGTGATTTGGCAGTGGTTCGCAGCTTGATTGCAGCATAGCGTGCAGGAAGTCTGCCGGGACTAGGACATCGGAATATGGGGTCAAACTGAAGTCAGCTTAGAAGATGGACAGACGGCAAGACTGTGGTGATACTCTGCCACTGTTGGCGGTGTAAGCACGACTGGTGTTTAGGATACGGCGCCGTGGTACGGGACGGGACGTAGTGAGCAATCAAACCGTACATTCAGTTAAAATGCAAAACTCCAGGACTTCAGATTGTCTTCATCCACCCGGGGGCAGTGCTGGGAGTCCTCTCAGCCTCGAAGATAGCCAGAGCTACACAGCAAGACCGTCCATGCACGCCAATCACACAGCACGTGGAACTGTCACTGTCTGTCACCGACATGGCTCAGCAGCAAACCTTCACAATCCCCTCAATTGTCTTCTCTCCCCTCTTCTCGTGTTCTATCCCTCCCCGGTCTTCTCCTCGCGCACTTCTTCCCTTTCCTCCCATCCTTCCATCCCTTCCCTTGCATCCCAGCCCCGGTCGCGTCCCCCCCCCCCCCCCCCTAAACCAGCACTCGGCACACGAGTCACGACAACGCATAGACGCACCACACCCCCCTCCCTCCCTTCTTCCCTACCAAGTGCACACACCCATCCGTTCAATCCAGTCCATCCAGTCCATCCATGCCGCACGGGCACTCGCCTATCCCCGCGCCTCGCATCCTCCTCCCTCGTAAAAACCTAATCGTACCTTCTCTTTCGGGTAATTTATGTGTCAGCATGGATCCCTGTCCACGGTCCTTCTCCCTCCCTTTCTTGCTCGAGCAGAGCGCGCAATAAAGCAGAGCAGAGCAGAGCGAAACGAAAATTGCCTCCCCCTCCTCGCTCTTGTTCGGGAAGGGGCAAGGGAAGAAGGGGAACGCAGGGAAGACAAGGATGGGGATGAGGTGATGATGATATGGTTTAGTCATCTATCTCATGCTATGGATGGACATGGACTTGGGACTGGCGGGCGGTTCGTTTCTTCTTTTTGCTCTTGTTCTTCCGTGCTTCCGTGCTTCCGTGCTTCTGTGCGTGCTTCTGCTGTTCGGGCAGGCAGAGAAAGCGGTTATTTGTGATGCCCTTGTTTGGGTTGGTCCGTTCTAGTCTGGTCTGGTCTGGTCTGGTCTGGTCTGCCTTACGATGCACACACACGCACACACGCACACACGCACGGGCTGGCGTCTATCTACTTACTTACTGACTGACTGACTGACCTACTAACTTACCATAAGTAAATCCAGTCCCGTCATCAGCCGAAAGGAGCAAAGGCACCGAAGACCCCGAAGGAACTAACGAACACACACACACACACACACACACACACACACACGAAGGAAGGAAAGGAAAGGAAAGGAAAGGAAGGTTATTCGATGCTTCGATGCTTCGATGCTTCGCTGGCCCCGAATACCCTTGCCTAGCTACCGTAACTAACCTGGCTGACTGACAACCGTGCTATCAACTAACGAACTAACTAACCACAGTAGAACTAACTAACCAACTAACTGCTCGGCTAACTCGCCGCGCCGCACCGCAACCGCAACCGTAACCGCAACCGCACCGCACTGCACCCCGACGCGGACCCCATGCTCCCAGTGCTCAGTGCTCAGTGCTCAGTGCTCAGTGCTCAGTGCTCAGTGCTCAGTGCTCAGTGCTCAGTGCTCAGTGCTCAGTGCTCAGTGCTCAGT